TTAATAATAATGATCATTATTGCAGATTATAGATTATAAATAAATCATTTAGGGACAAGGGGGTGAGATTAAATAAATTATACTTCTTCTCACTCCTTTTCGAACACTAGATGTGGGACTGTTTATGTTGCTAATGCTGTTGTTGTTGTTGTTGTTGTTGTTGTTGTTGTAAATGTCATTTTTTTGTTTTGATTTCTCTTACATGACTATGCACTGCAACATTTGTTTTGTTTTGTAATTATTTATTTTACTTGTTCGAAATAAAATGTATCAATCAATCAATCTTTGCTGTCTTTGCACATATTAATGTGTATTAGCTCATGAACAGCCAGCCTCCTGTTGTGGATCCCACAGGAATCTGTAGACACCACCAGCACTTGGTCATGTTTTATTACTCAATCACTATTATAGGTGTATGGCAATTCACACAATTATAATGTAACTGAGTTGAGTAAAGGGTTGTCACAGGCTTGCTCTACAAGATATCCTCACTGGGCTTAATAACCACAGCAATGCATTGTTTATCATATTTTCAGCAAAAAACATATATAATTGTTTTTACATTCTGGACTGGTCATAAACCAAAAGTAGTTAGGTTGCAATTACAAGAGAATGCAACAAGAAAAAAAGTCAAATTTTAAAGTTAAGGGTTTAATTTTGAACACAAACAAACAACTTCAGAGGTTCAGACAACAAAACTACCTGGTTTGGTTTAGGAAAAGAGTAGTGTTTACATTTAAATAACCACATTTGTTAAGTAGAAGTAACATTTTACATTGTGTACACAAAGAAAAAAAATGTTAGTTTCACAGGGGACTACTGTAACAGCAAAACACCCAAACATGTTTCACTGCTTGGTAAAAGTAGTCCTGTGTTTTGAGTCCCATCCCTCCAGATGGGTAATTACATCTAGAGGTCTGATAATGCCAATTTAACAGGATGATAACACTCTGATTTGGTGGTTACATATACATTAAGCCAAAGCCTAGATTTAACTGAAGTAAAAAAGTGATTTCAGACTCAAGTCCACCGCTACACAAACCCTAAATGAGAGAAAGACAATATATACTTCTGAATGTGTGTTTGAACTATAGGTTTTCTGCATTACAAATACTCCAAACATCTCAAATGAAATTACAGCGCTTCACTTCTCATGGGTAAAGCAATTTGTTTAGCTTTGGCTGGCATGCAGCTTCCAAGGATTTGAGCCCATAATTTAATGCATGCCATCAATTCCTAGCAGTGCAGATATGTTTGCATGAGTAAAATTGCCCAATGCGGATTGAGTTTCAAGCCACTGTGACTATTAGAGATTAGATGTGATGAGGGATGTATATTTTGTGCGGTGACTCAAATTTGGGAATAATGGGCATATGGCAGACTAATCAGAAACACCCTCGAGGGATAGATGAACCACTCTGAAGACTGAGTTGAAGGAAAAGGGGGGCCTGATTTCTATACAACAGATAAATGTAGGATTAGAGTTTAAAAAGTGGTTTCCCTGTGAGGAGACAGAATGAAGACGGTTCATACTGAGGACTCCACACATTTCCCCCCCGGTACCGCAGTCTCCTTCGATTCAGGGAAGAAATGCTCGGGGATTTTCTCTCTTCTCTGCGGTTTAGGCCTCACAGCATCTTGTTAAATTGTGACTCCAACTTTAATTGATGAGAGAGTAATTTGGGTTAGAGAGATTTTCAAATGCTTATGGTAGCTCATATCAAATTGGGGAACTTTCTAGGGATATGGCGTTAAGGAACTTTTACAATTGGATTTTATAACGTTGTTGTTCTGGACACGTTTCAGTGCATACTTCTTTTGCTATTTTAGACAACAAAATACCAGCCCCAGTCTGCTTTTGGACGGACCTTGATTGTAAAATAGGAACAATCAAAGTTTATGCTTGCACTGTTGCCAAATGGATGGAAATCTTTCACACTTAAAAATGTAACTGCAGAACTAAAAAAATAGCTCTTTTAGAAACATCCTTAACTTTTGGGGAAATGTACACACATCTGTTTGGTAGAAGCAGGCTTAAATATAATGCTGCGTATACAGTATGTTCCATGATACACTGCCCACTTTGCCTTCCACCTGCATCTTCAAACAAAATGTTAACACACTGCATGCAGTCAATCACTCTGAATGAAACAGGCTCGCACCTGGCCTTCATGCATGGATTATTTTCATTTGCCAAAGCACCCATTCATTATTTTACTAAAAAGATTTACAGCCCTGAAGTTGGCATATAAAACAAAATCACATTTTGGCTCTTGATTTGCTTCATGGTGTTAATAATCCCCAACCAGCCACTTGTTACCTCAGGACTTTAGCTCATTGCACTGTAATTGTTCACATGCAGAAGAAATAGTCAAACTCTGTCAATGATTTGGGAAACGTAGGGTAAAGGCAAGGTGTATCCACTGCCAGCAATGTGTTGTCATCCAACTATGCAAACGTGAAGACACATACAGAACAGACACACACAGTAGCCCTTCTGTCTAACCAAAAACAAGTCAAATTAATTGCCTGGCTATGTAAGTGCGTGTCTTTTTGATGTGATATGTCATATAGTCATCCTGTCTGACTCAATCCTTCCAACGGTTGTGCGTGATGATGGTTTTATTCTAAGAATGGCCACACCGCCTCACTGTCTGGTGCAGCACGCAGAGCAAAGGCATCACGAATGGTCCTTTTCTAAACACACACACATTGCCAAATTGTAAATCATTTTAGCATGTTGGACCTTCTAGCCATAAATTACATGTCAAGAGCTGGTGCTTTTATCCGCCAAAAAAATGTCAGGGCAAAGTGTTCTATTTTTCTTATGCTTTTCAGTCATGTAAGAATGGTATGGTGGTATGTGATTTGTTTCAATCATAAAACATACTGTATGTTATGCTATTTCTTCTTTCAAATTAAATAACAACCTCTTCATATAAAGATTAGCTTTACTGTATTATAAAAACATTAATTAATTTTCTTATGCTATCACAATTATGCTCCCCTTCTTGATTCATATGAACCGTGGATGTTCATGCCTGTAATCATGTTCAGGTTGTTTTCCATGTGAATCGAAGAGAGTTGCCCCGGTAACCTCCAGCATAATATATTGCTCTCAACTGATGAACTGATGGTTTCTAACTGATGTTTAAACATGTCTTTAGTAATATTTCATGTGGTATATTACATAAGGTGTAAACATGCCACACTATCAAACACTCATCTATGCCTCCTTATCCTCGAAATACCCTTTACGGTCTATATGTGCACGTGTAATCAGTATGTTAGCAGGCTCACAACTTTATTCCTGCAAGTATTCATAAACTTGAGCATTAGACAAATAAAAAATGTGACTTTAAGGTATTGGATCACGAGAGTTACATGATGCATTTTATTTTAACCGAATTTAATGGCAAACCAATAGAATTTGAAACATTTCACAAGCCACAAATGTCATCCTCATTTTAACCGTAAAAAGTCTGGAAATCAGCAAAGTTATTAAGATTGATCATCTAGGCCAATTGCTTTAGATAATAGAAAGTCTACTTTGTTATTTGTTGTTATGAGATATTACCCTCAAGTTTCTCTGTTGCAGTTACCAGCTGGCTTGATTTTATTTAACAGTTGACATCATTATGTATGAGTTAGATCGGAAGACTGTGGTCTCCACATAATCCCCTCTCCCTTGAAAGCGTCAAATATACCTCCCCAGACTCCCGCTCAATGACAACACACAGCTTCATGTGATGAACGCTTAACCAGAGCTGAGCGTGAGCTTTGAAGCCATTGTTCCAACCTGTGAGTGTGTAATACCTTCAGTCACATGGGGACAATGAACAGTATGATTCATAATCTCATAAAAGACGACACCTGCACATGCCACACTGCACATGGCTCTAACCCTGTTCTAAAAAACAGGCCACGACTACATTTCCCAGATCCCACATCTAATTGCATCTGTCATAACTGCTCTGGTGATGGACACAAATAACCCTGGAGTCCCCTGAAGGCCAGGCTTGGGTCCTGTGAGTCTCAGAGATAACGTGCCCTTAAGGTGTTGGAAGATGATGTACACTGACTCGGGTTTCAGCAGACTGGCCTGGGACAGGTTGATGGAGGCTCTGATTGATCCTGAAAACAGAGAAGCCTGTGGGAGAATTGTAATTGAACCTGGAACAGATGTTGAACAGGCCAGGAAGAATGTGGCTGTAATGAAGGTACAGCCTAAAAGTCAAAATTAAGCGAGATGAACCAGTTTACCAGTTTTATTAAATGGCATTGGCAATGGTAGTCTTTTTGGCATGTTAGATTGTTGTCGGCTGCTAGGTAACATTTACTCTGCAGAGGCAACAGGGTTCACTGTGCAGTTAAAACATTTATCAAACTGTAATCCATAAACTTTCTGAGGAAAACACATCTCAGCTAATCCAACAAGAAGCACAATGTGTTTTAAATTTAAAAATTAACCACAAACAGCCAGTGCCAAACCCTCAACCCTCCCAAACTCCCGCACCAACAGGACTATTTTTCTCAACTTGAACTCAACTGGGATAAACAATACTTCACATTTAAGATTCTGAAGGGAGCACTACATGAATTCAACCTGAGCGACTTTAGGAAATGTCCTTATTATAAAGGACACACTAACCAAAACATAGTAAAGCATAAGCAAAAATACTATTGTTATTATTGTATTTATAATAAATGTCATGCCCGTTATAATGTATCATTTCCATGTACATTATGGAAGGAAACATCCAACATTTTGAGTTATTAACTATACTCAAGCAGTATTTTAAGGTACTTACCATGTACTACACATTTTCAGTGGAAAATATTGTCCTGTTATAATCCAATACATAGTAGGAGCTCTAGTTAGGAGTACAATTGCAGAATCTGATTATTAATACAGTACATAATTTATTAATGTTGACATATTATTGTAGACTAAGCTACCCAGCAATGTATAAAGTAGTTCAAAAATAACCATTACTAGCTGTGACATTGAAATTATGTACACTTTAATGCAACAATAATGAAAATACAATGATATGCTGTGTATTATGCTGAATTTGCTCTGTCTGCTGTGTTTTAATTTAGATAATTATGTCTGAAACAGTGACAATTGGTGTTGAATTATTTCCATTTCCCTGGTTTAGGGAGATAATGCAGATCACAGGTAGATTTGTGAGATCATTCAATGTAAATACACGGTTTACTGTACAAGGCAGCATCAGACATATAGTTTGGTGGCACAACACTGCCATCTGCTGATCCACAAATGAAAATAAAGAAATAGTTTACAATCAGGTTGAATCACTCTCTTTTTAAGAGTCTGGGTATTTATTTTGTTTATTTGTTTCCACTACTTTTCTTGTCTGTCCACTCTGAAGCTCATGGTGACAACGTCCTGGATCCCAGCCTGCAGCTGATCATGCTCCTGCACGGCGGACACTCCTTTAGGGGTCCCGGTCAGGATGAGATCCCCCTCCTCCAGGGTGATGAACTCGCTGATGTAGCTGATGAGATAAGGGATGGAGAAAATCATCTGGGAGGTGCAGCCGTTCTGCCGGAGCTGGTCGTTCACCTTCAGCCACAGGGTCACGTTCCCCGGGTCAGGGATGCGCTCTTTGGGGATGAACTCACTGACGGGACAGGAGGTGTTGAAAGCTTTGGCCCGAGTCCACGGCAGACCCTTGGATTTACACACATCCTGGACGTCCCGGGCTGTCATGTCCAAGCACAGAGCATAGCCTGCAACATGCTCCATAGCAGCGGACTCAGGGATGGCCGTGCCCCCTTTCCCGATCACCACCCCTAACTCCACTTCATGGTGCAGGTTGTTGGAGTACCGGGGCACCAGGATGGAGGAGCCCTCTCTGACATATGCAGAAGGTGGCTTCAGAAAAAGGATAGGCTCTGTAGGAATCGCATTTTTCAGCTCTTTGGCATGGTCTGCATAGTTTCTGCCAACACAAATGATCTTCCTCCCCCATTCCCAGAATCGAGATATATTTTGTGCCGTCATTGTGGAGAAACGTGTAGGTTTTCAGCAGCTTTGAGGCTGTCAGAACCAGTGAACCGTCAACTAAACTTTGACCGACCCTGAAACGAGATTTTCTAAGCTACGGCAAGCCTGAAAGGACATACAGTAAACTCAAATAAATATTACAGCTGTTAAAACAATGCATTTTAAGTGTATCAGTGCTCAATTATACAATAAGTAGGCTATCATTTACATCTACCTGTTTGTATATTTAAAGAAGTATAAGTTAACACACATATCTACAAATAACACATATTTTTGTTTTTATATTGATTATTCAGGATCCACGCCCCCGTACATGATTGGTGCAGCCTGTGAGGTTAAAGTTGAAGAGGAAACGGACACGGAAATAAACCAAACTTTTCTGGTTTACACAACAATTGAGGTTAGCCTTTATCTGCTGTTATTATGTTATTCAAGTCACTCGTAGGGAGTGCCTGCACTCTGCTTGGAGCAACAACAGCGTTCAAATTAGGTAAGTCCCCACTAACTTACAGTTCGTAAACATCTCATTTCGCACGTTAGCTTGCGTATTTATATGAATGTTAACTTGTTACGGATGGATAAGTTGTTTTTTGTTATGGTCGAAAAAAGAGAGCTGTCAATTGAACTGAGTTACCCTGTCGGAGCAAACATCTGCACCTCATTACATAACATTATCCTTAACAGTCATGATAGGCTGTAGCTAGGTGGAAATCATGTAATGCATTTTAGCATTGAAGCTAACGTCGTTCACTTTGTTTTGTTAGCTTACAGGTTGAATACTTGGCTATATTAGCATTCGTTTCCGGTATGTCTGGCTGCATAAAATAAACATAATTTAGTTTAAGGGTCTCTGTTATAAAATCATAGAATTGTATGGCTATAAGATTGATTATTTAACACTAAGAGAGAGAGCGTCCTCATGTCAGTCTGTCTAATGTTTACGTATATCTTCTCATGAAGCACCGTTGGAAGTAAAGGCCCAGGCAGCTGCCCTCCTTCACAGCGCAGTGAGGAAGTCCTCTCTGGTGGAACAAGCAAGCATGAAGATTGAACTTCTCCCAGCTCTCAGTGACAACTACATGTACCTCCTGATAGATGAGGAATCCAAAGAAGCTGCTGTGGTTGACCCTGTGGAGCCAATAAAGGTACGTGCCTTATATTATATTGATGTTACCAACATATTTGCTCTTTTAATTGATCACTATCCCCACTATGTGTCCCGTATGTCTATTCTACATGATTGCAGACACAGTTGTGTATAACTACATATATTTACTTACTTACTATATACTTCATACACTTCTCATTTTATTATGTATATGATGTTGCCATTTAGGGCAACATTTTGCAAACCTACCATTGATAAATACATTTTTTATGATGTAAATCAGAATTAAATTGCAAATGATCACATTCGGGATGTAAGAAAGAACACTGTAAGAAAACACACTATCGGCTTGATAGAGGTTTTAAACAATTATCAAGATTATTGTTGAATCATTTAGATTTTAATTGATTGAATCATTTTATCACGTATGCAGTTTGACCCTTTAATGTTTTCAACAGGTTATGGAAGCTGTGAGAAAACATGGCGTAAAACTCACAACTATTCTGACCACTCATCACCACTGGTGAGATGCAATTTATCGTTTTTTTTTTTAAACATAGTGTTAGACAGGCTACCATTAGACATGCATGAAACGACCCTTCTGCTGAATCAAAGAGTGGTAAACAATACACTGATTATTTTCTCTCCTCAGGGATCATGCTAGTGGAAATGAAAAGATGGTTAGGTTAATGCCAGGGCTGAGGGTCTACGGAGGAGATAACCGAGTGGATGCAATTACAAAGAAAGTCTCTCATTCCAAAAATTTGAAAGTAAGACAATCAAACTGTCTATTCTACGCTATATATAAATCATCACCTGCCTGATGTTTGCTCACTGGTGTCATTCTTTCTCAGGTTGGATCACTCAATATCAAATGCCTGTTCACACCATGTCACACAACTGGTCACATCTGCTACTATGTTACGAAAGAAGACAGCACAGACCCCCCAGCTGTTTTCACGGGTATGTCAAATCCAGGAGATCAGATAAAAGGCACAAATAAATACCAGGTGATACTGGAGACAATGAAGTCTCTGACAAAGCTTTTAAATCTGTAAAGTTGACCAATAAGTATTGATACAACAGCTTTAACAGGACATCACTGCATCACATGTGACCTTTTTAATGTCCCTTTTTTCCCATGCAGGAGACACGCTGTTTATGGCCGGTTGTGGTAAATTCTTTGAGGGTACAGCAGAGCAGATGTACAAAGCCTTGATAGACATTCTGGGACAACTGCCTCCAGAAACTGTAAATATCTCTTCACTAATATCAGTATAAAGGGTACTTTGAAAGTCTAAACTTCATATTATGATAACGTATACTCAAACTGTATGACTAACCTCGATGTGTTTGTGTTTTAAGCGTGTTTATTGCGGTCACGAGTACACCGTCAGCAATCTGAAGTTTGCGCGTCATGTGGAGCCAGACAATGAAGTCATTCAGGAGAAGCTAGCATGGGCAAAGGTATTTAACTGATGTGTCACATCATGGCAATTATTGCCTCAATCAAATGATCAGCCTATGAAAAAAGTGATAATTAAAACAACTTTTGCATCTGTGTTTTGTAGGAGAAATGCAGCAACGGGGAACCTACCGTCCCTTCTACTTTGGCGGAAGAATTCACATTTAACCCCTTTATGAGAGTCAAGTATGTGCAACTTGATTAAATACTAGTTATTAGTGATTTACTGACAACACATGTGTCTGTATAGTTTTGTTTTGAGCTAATTACAGTTATTTGTTTAATTCAGAGAGAAGTCCGTGCAAGACCATGTCAAGGAGACGAGCCCGATTGAAACCATGAGAAGTCTCCGGAAAGAAAAAGATGGCTTCCGTGTGCCCAAGGAGTGATTTCCAGTGTACTCATGCTGAATGGTTCTTTACTGTTTAAAACACTGCAAGCTGTCAATAGTGAAGTACAGAATAAATATCTACAATTCATCTTCAAACAATATAATCATATCTACGACATTCTCTCTTAGGCAATGCACACATATCTTTTCATCATTATATTCAGCCCTCATATGGCTAGGAACTTGTTTTAATTATATTTGGTTTGTACGGATGAAATTGGTGCGGTAGGTTTAAGGAAAATTTAGATTTTAATTGAGTGCTTGAAATGAGAAAGTTTGATCATGTGTAAATCTGAGTATAAGGGTCTATTTAATGTTATTTTATAATATTAAATCAATGTTAAAACTACAATTGTAGTTAGTTTGTACAAAAGTGTTTCAAATCAACAACTTAAAGTGGATCTATCATGCTATATTTGAATAATATAGTGTAGGACCATACATAATATATATAAGGCATATTTATACTTTTTTTTTTTTCAAAATACCAAACAGATCATGCATTTTAGCCATTTTTTTTTTTATTTAGCCTTTATTTATACAGGTGCCATGCCTCATTTTGCTCAATTTGACATTTTTTAGCTCTGTTTTTGCAAGGGCTGATTCTGTGAGAACAGCACCACCTACAGGCCTGGCATATGTACTACAGCGTCTCCAGCGCTTTCGAACGGCAATGGCCGTGGCTGTCTCCTCCTGATAGGTGGACGTCAGGACAGTGTTCAAATCTGGATCAGTTTTTATCAGATCCGTTGCAGCCCCTTTTTTAGAGATTTGGGTATGGAGGAAAATAGAGAGGGTTGTGTTTTCTGACACTTGGTGAGTTCCCTGGAACACCGGGGACACATATTCATGTATAAAAGACGTACAAAAGTGCATTTTGCATGATAGGTCCCCTTTAAATAAGACGGGGAGATGCTTGAGGAACAAATGTTGGAATGTGTAAAGTTTCTTTAAATTCATTAAAAAATGACTTGATTGGTATTAATGCTTTATTGTGACTTTTCTTTCCATTTTGGCTTGAAAGCTATTCTGATTGTTCATTATGTAATTTTGGCAGAATTTAATTTAAAGCATTGTGAGCAAAGCATTGTCTACGTGGTATCACTACTGTTGCTTTCACATGAAGTGTTCAATACAGCGAATGCTCTTTTGCATGTAAAGTACAATCTTACAACGAATATTGAATGAAAATAGCAACAACACATGTTTATTTGAAGTTAGTAGAAATAAAAGTCCTGCTTTCAAAAAGCACTCAATTGAAAATATTGTATTTTCATAAATATCATTTTTTGGAGTATTGCAAGAACATTTACATGTAGTTGTAAGTTACAACTAAACATGGGTATTTTAGGCCTTGAATTACTAAATTAATTTGTGTATAATTAAGACTGCATGTCACCATTTTTCTTTAGAACAGGAGTCTATAATGTTGCACCCATAAATTCTACTAGAGTAAAAATATCATACTGTGTACATTACTAATGTAAATCTTTAATTTCTTCACAATGTGATCAAATCTTCACTTTGTGCTTAAAGTTGCACAACCGATTCAAGATTATTCAATAATGTCTTTATCTAAATTCTGTTGGATATATTCCATTAAAATATATAAAACAAGTCTACAATTAAATAAAGTCTTTATTTCTCATTGCACATAATCATAAGGTTAAATAAACAAGGAATGATTATATTTAGCTCTGTCATTTCAGCTGCCACAAAAATGTATTATTTACTATTTATACATTTGAAAGGACAAAAGACAATCGGTCATACGATGTGAACTTAATTTGGCTCCGGCATCGTGTGTATTATCTATACCCCCTGTCTTTCGATTTGCCAAACAAACAACTTTTAGAGGAGCGAAACAGTGGTTTGAAAGGTTATTTGCATACATTAATCCAGCTTGTATTCAACATTGCCCATAACCCTTCTGTTCTCTCTAAAGAATTACAAAAATAGTCACACATTGGGACGGTGCTGTGGTGTTTGATGAAAAACTCTGCTTATCATGGATTACACCAAAGCTTTCTTCACCACTTCATAGTAAGTCCATTAATCATCTTCTCCACCGCGTGGTAGTGTGTGTGCAGCAGCTCTTTGGCTCTCTCCTCCCCCACACTGTGCAGCCAGGACTGGTACAGCTCGGCCACACGGGTGTCTTCTTCTGGCGATAGCGTGCGCTCTTCCTTGTAGAGATTCTCAACCTTCTGGAGGAGCTCCTTTGGGTTCTGACCAGGTAAGGGCTTCACCTGTCCTCCGCCATTTATACAGCCTGAATAATAACAAGAGGTAATGGGAAGCATGCTGAGTTTATCCCTTAAATGTTCTTGCAGACATCATACATCAAGTTTGTAAATCAGTGCTTATTATTTTCTTGTTTTGGGCAATTTAATGGAGCAAAGGTGCATAAGCACACATCAAGGAAAAGTTTTCATCCTCAAATTCGACTTTACCTGACGGACATGCCATTACTTCCACAAAGTGGTAAGGCGACTTCCCCCTCTTTAGCTTCTGCACCAGGTTCTGGATGTTGCGGAAGCCGTATGTGGAAGCAAAGCTCAACTGGACAACTCCATCTTTCTCTAAAGTCACTTCCTGGAAATCTTTATTCCTGTGGCAGAGGGGTTGAGGTGGAAGAACCAGATTAGACTGAAAATTCTATAGACGAGGTGCAAGACAAGTAGGCCGATACAATTCATCTTTAAACAGATGATTTGCCCTTTTTTGCCTGTACATAAAAAGCATCTTAAACATGTATTTGTACTGGACCAAGGATTGACTGTTCCACAAAATGACCACAAGGCTGTTTCGGTTCTGATGGGACAGACTCACCTTAGGGTCTTGTAAGTGAGCTCCTTAACCTCCTCTCCAAACAGCTGCTTGGCAGCGTAGGTGAAGACATGATGGAGGTAACCCCCTGACCCACTCCCAGAATGGCTCAGGAACTCATCCTCACTCACACTGCTGAACCTGGGTCACAAATAATATGTAGTGTGAGTTAATTTATTCTTATGGAAATCTGCTATGGCTAATAGAAGAAAAACATCACAGAACTTACATTGTATCTAGAGGAGCAGGTTCCACATCTTTCAGAGACACATTTTTCTCCTCAAGCATTTTCTGAACCTCTCCTATAGGAAACATCAGTGAAGTATAATATGAGAAAATGCTCCACATTTAAAGAGGCAAACAGCATCATAAGAGTAATTACTGTACCAGATGTGATGACACAGTCCACTTCTCGAGTCTCAGCTTCATTTAGGTAGAAGTCTGACCTCGAGGCCTCTAGTTTCTTGTCAAAGCAGGGCATTACTGCCACATGGTAGATCTGCTGTGGACTCAGCCCCTAACAACACACAGATCAATGTCAACTAAACATTTTATAAATTAGAATTATAATCCAAATTCAAGACGTGCAGTACCTGTTGTTCAGCAAAATGGCCTTTAACCAGAGAACCCATCATCTGCTGAGGGGAGCGAGTGGTACTAATGTAAGGAAGGATCATCTCCCCATGGGTCTTCTCTGCATAGCAAATCCAACCTGAGCAACACACGCATACAGATAATTCATACATGAGCAATGGGAGATGTCTTCAAGCAAACATTGAAATCATATAAATGAAGGTTGTATTATCTGACCAAAGTGAATTTTATCAAGCAGATAACGTTGTTTGGTCCACAACGAATATAAAGATGATTCCTCAACACAGCTACATACGAGTGAATTGTGTTTTATATACTTTCACATTATATTAATCAATGGAATTTCACATTGTTAGAATAAAAATTGCTATACAGAAAGGGTACACAATCAGCACCATTTACAAGCCGCGTTGGTATAATATGAAAAAGAAAAGTCGATTTACTTCACCACCAGCCAAGAAAGAAAAACAAATGTTTGTACAATGCAGACAAATGAGGATGTCACGCTACAAAAGCCCTTCAGAACGCTCCAACATGATACATAGAGGGTTTGTTTTGGAATACCTGGACAGGCCGATGTCAGCATGGGCAGAGTCTTGCTGTCCTGCTCCTTCCTCTTGAAACGCTTCACAAACTCTCTCTGGCTCTCTAGCAGGCTGAAAGTCCGACTAAAGCTTGTGTCAAACACATGATGAACCCCTGCAATAATGATGACAATCTTTAGTGACTTTGTCTGCCTAAATCAGCCTTTCATTTACATTTCCAGTTTTTCTTTGAGTTGTGTAGGACTTGAGAAGAATATAATTGTATCACTCACCAATGCCTTTAAAGAAAGAAGTAAGCCTCCTGCCTGCCTCAGTACTGCTGAGGTCAAAGTGTGCAGCGATGGAGGCTCTGGACTGCGGTGAAACGGACACCACCACAACCTTTTGCTCTTCAGCGTTGGCCTGTGGAGGGTGTTATATATACCGTGAAACCAGCAATTATCACATTCCAAAGGCTGCAATGGCAAAGTAACCGGACACATACTACACAAGCATTCGAACACATCCGTCCATCTCTACCTTGTTGTTGTGAAGCACTTTGAGGAGCTCCTCGTGGCTTTGCTGTGTGATGAGGACGCTCTCAGCTGAGGTGATGCAGCCGCTGCAGGCCAAACAGTCTTCCAGTGTGATCTTTGCTTTCTCCAGCTTCTGTTTCCCTCCATCCTGCAAACATGAGGTTAATGAATTCAAGGTAAACGCTCATGCAACACCTATATTTTACGTAAAGGGAATGTTTGGGCTAGATACTAACCTTGTTGACCTGGACATAACTGCCATCATCTTCTATCTGAATTTTGGCCACCGATTTACCGAGTTTTTTTTTCTATTTTCACAGGTTTGACGCATTCCTGAAAAACAGAAACCACACTTGTAAACACAACTACAAAATACTTATCTTTGATTATTTTTTATGAACTTTAGGAAGACAGCAATTTATAACACTATCCAAATACCCCTATCTGAACTGAGGGAGAGCAACAAAAGGATAGATAATGAATAATTCAAAAACAAGTTATTACCTGTTAACTAACTAGCTCCAACCTCTGTCTTCGTAGTTACATAAATGCTAACATTAGCAGCAAGCTAACTACTTAGCACATTTTTATATTTTAACGCAGGCTTGTTGTGTTACCATTAACTGTTAAATGAATAAGCCAACAGCGCTATATGGTGAGTTTTTGTCAAGCTTTTATTAAGTATTTATTATAAAGGTTAAAAGTGGATGTCATATCAGCAGCACTGATATGACATCTAATGCTCGCTATTTTCAGTATGTTTTCGCTATCTGCTGCATTTATATAGGGCGTAAATCATTAGTGTCAACGATGCTATTTTAAGATACTTATTATGAATATGTTAGAATGTTATATTAGCTCAACTACCTGAGAGGGAGTGATAAAATCATCGAGATCTGTCAACTGCAGCACGCCGCTGAACTGAGAAGCCATTTTTACTGCCGTAAAGCGTTTGTTGTTTACTGTTGTGTCGTGAATAGTTATCCTTGATTCAACTCCAACATGGACAAACCTCCCTATAAACCACCTGGCTGTTGCAGTGCTTTCCTTTCATCTTTAACAGTTTGGACTTAATGGTCTTGTACAGCCTCCTTATTTCTCTGAGCAAGTTAACCTGCAAGAAAATTACAGTAAGCTATCAAAATTAAATATGTTTTCTAACTGTGAAAATATACGAATTTATGCCTGGTATGGCCTTCACCACCTATCTTTGTGTGATGGTTAACCATGTTTTACCATTATTAAATACATATTTACATTTAGAGGTTCTTTAAGGGGGAAAATGCAATATTATCCATAAATCCCCCTCAAATCAATGTTTCTGACTGAACCTTTGACCACATCCTGATGAAACTGTATCAACTGTAAAGGCCTTTAAGTCAATATTAAATGCCTTAGGTATTCTGTACAAATAACAAAGTAAAACACTGTAAAAATATCCTTCACCAAAATAGGTAAAGAGCATAACATGGAGCCTCACATCAGTTTTTTTTCTTTTTCTGTGATATAGACTCTTAATCTATAGAAATTGAAATGTTATCTCTTTAAATTACTATGAGAAAGTATAGACGGTTAGAACAAAATACAATTTCGTCAGGATATTTACGCATGAATCCTTGACCTGCATGCACAGTGGCTTTTGGGCCCTTGATAAAATTAGTATGTAATATGTAGTGACGTATCTGTATATGTACGCAATGTTTCTGCATACTCTACAGACGAAGAGCAGTTGTGCTTGAAACATCACCTTGGTGTAATTAATATTGGACTATAGAGCATGTGAAAGCAAATACATTTTTTATTCCATGGCCCCACATCTGTCCCACGCTTGAATAGATTAATTGACAGCTCTGATCATTTTGTAGTATTTTTACTTTTGGATATGTTTTCAATGTTTTAATAAGCATTTTGATATTACCGCGTTATCCATCGTATAGCCATGGCATAAAGATACAGATGCAGATAATCTTTGACAGACATATTAGTATTATCAGATAAAATAGATAACGTTCAATAATAAATATTTAAAGGTCCCATGTCATGCTTTTCCGGTTATTACCCGTCCCCTTGTGTGTTATGAAGGTTTTTATGCATGTAAACGGTCTGCAGAGTCAAAACCCTCAAAGTACACCCTGGAGGGAGTAAAACTCTAACACAGAAAAGACCTCCCCAAAACGCCGTTGGAGATTTATCATGTTCTTCCTGGGCATCGTGACGTCTGGATACCCAGTAGCCACGCCCAGAGCTATGACGCGATACGGTCATGCGGTACCCGGAACCAAATGGACCAATCCGTGGAGCCGTTACGTTACGTCCGCGGAGCCGTTACGTTAAGCCCCCGCTGATTGGTCCAAATTGACCAATCCACGGACTTCCTCACACACACATCTGTGTGCAGGGAGCAGGCAGCTCTGCTGATTTCTCCTCCCTGGCTGCAGGCTGATAACAGACAGTTGGGATCGCGGCGAAATTCTCTCTGCAGACCCATTCTCACAGCGTTTATCAACCTTTTTCTCACTCAATATCAATATCGGCTGTGACTTTGTGTGTGCTCAGGATGAGTTTGGCTGTGTTTCGCTGTCGCTAAACAAGGAAACCACACCTCCACGGAGCTCAGCGCGATTCACAACGTCCCGACCAATCAGAGCACACTGTGCTCACAGGGAGGGTGGGGGCTGGAGCTATAGAGAGGCGAAGTCCCTCCCCTTCCGGTGGGACTCATGGGACCTTATTTCGGAAAAAGTTTGTATTGAAGTCAATGGAGAGAGAAAGATTATCTTTCGATCCTGTTTGAATTGTGCCACGAATTACACATATGATGTTTGTCAATCTTAAATAATAATTTCCATGTCAAAAAAGTCACAGTTTGTCGTAAAACTGTTGAAATATAAGACTATGAAAAATAGGCAACTAGAAAGACTACAAATCCCAGAATCTCGGTCCCGCATGCTGGCTCTTACGGAACCGACTAACTCCCCTTTTGTGTATGTTACAGCTCTCAACTTGCCCAGACTTGTAGTGATTTTCACCTCTTTTAATACTTTTTGCCTTATTCTGAAAGAAAGAAGTAACGGCCGTTTTGGTGTGTGGTGCGAGACGGGAGATGTAGTTCATTGAGCGGTTTCACACAAAAAAAGTGTTACTTCACAGTTTTACGACACATTTTTATTTTTTTGTCTTGTAAAATTATCTTTTAAATTGACAAACATCATATGTGTAATTCGTGGCACAATTCAAACGGGATCGAAAGATAATCTTTCTCTCTCCATTGACTTCAATGCATAACTTTTCCGAAATAAGGTCCCATGGAGCTCAACCGGAAGGGGAGGGACTTCGCCTCTCTATTGGAGCTACAACGAGCCGTTAAAGGCAGAGAGTGAAATTCAGTGAATACACGTAGTTTACAGAGATGCTGTATGAGAAACCAATGTGAGTTTGGAAAATTGCACAATATAAATCTATTCTAGTAGACCTCAACAATGGAATTATGATCAGTGGAAATGGCCATGACATGGGACCTTTAACATATAAAGGGATCCAAAGAAGCCATCTTTGTCATTTGTCGAAATGTATTTCAGACCGTTTAATGCACTATAAGAAAAAATGTGATCAAAGTATGTTTTCTTTTTATGTATAGGTTAACAATATAATGATGAATGAAACAGTAATACTTTAAATGAAATAGATGCATAGGTTAATATATATATACAAGTAATTAATGGGATGAACGTAAAACTAAATAAAAATAATATGAACACACCAGAAGTCAACATTAATTTCTTGTCTTAAAACAAAGATCCATTTCTTTCTCGAAAACATTAAAACAAAACAGGGTTTTCTTTAGCAGATACACTTTAAAGAATGTAACACAGCATACAAAATAAGATGTATTAGAATATACTCTTACATATATTGTGTTGGACCTTAAACACACACACAATTCAAGCATATTATTATGCTAGAAATCTTCATTAAAAAATAGTTTCTTGTTGTCATCCCTCTATCTATGATAAGAGGCACGCACGCGCCCTTGTGTTGTTATGACTACGCGGTCGTAAATCCGCCATGTTTTCGCTCCTTTATAGCTGCGTTGCGACAGAGACGGAGACATGAATGTAGAAAATAATCATACGGCAGAAACAGAGAGGGAGCAAACGACGGACGGCAACGAGACGATCACCATCCAGACAACACTAGGAGATGAAGGTTTACTCTCTTACTTTCTGAATCAAGACTGAAATATTTATAGATATTGTGTTTGGGCCTAGCTCACTTCCTCCATCATGAAATGTTGCTAGCAGCTAACTGCCATTAGCAACAACATAAGCTAGTTGTTTCCCCGCTGCAGCTTTACTCAGTTTAGAAGTCCATTCAGTGAGCAGTTTACATCAGCTAGGTGGCACAGATACTTAACAAAGTTGTCTCATGCTGTATTGTGCATTTCTTTTTGCCTGTCAGATGAAGATGTGCACAAATGTGGACGCTGTCAGACCGAGTTCTCCACGCTGGAGGCTTTCATCCAGCACAAGCTGCAACAAAACTGCAAACGCGTGGAGGCCAACCAAGAGGTATGGACTGTGGTGTGTGTGGTTTAATATCCAGTTTACACTTTAAACTGCAGTATCGAATACATATCTATGTTTTACCAGGTTACTGCAGCAAATGGAAGTTCTTCTTCAGAGGTGAAAACAGCTAAAGGTGCATCCTCAGATGAGCGAGTGAAGATCACTAACGGTGGGTCAATATTAAAGCTGAATCTAAATTGTATCATCATATATTTGCCAATTATTGTGAAAGAAACATCAACATTTCCTCCAGAGGACAAGGTGACTTATGTTTGAACCAACCATCAGTGCAAAACTAAAATACATACTGTTCACATCAATGTAATGCATTGAATGAATCCACACATGTGTGAAGCTGAGATGAGCAAATGTTTATTATTTTTGCTTTAAGTTTACCTAAGTATAAATTACCTAAACAAATGTTGTATTGGTTCATCCATCATTTTGGTTCAACCTGTAAATTAGATTCTCCAGGGGGGCTACATTGTAATTTGTATCTTTATTTCACACAGATGAAAGCAGTGGTACTTTTGGCAGAGGTAGCAGGAAGAAAATAGTTTCACCCAAAGTCAATGACCAATCCGATGGGACGGAAGGATCCTTATCGGACAATGCTGAGAGTGACAAGTCTGTTGTTTACAAAGTTAACCAGGAGGGACGCTACATTTGCCAACTTTGTGACAAGACATTTAAAACTGTAAGTCCTAAAATGTATTTGTGTTTAACTGGGGACCTGAGATCAGATTTCCTTGTCAGAAATATCTTTCATGAATAATACCAGGCTGTGTATTTATTACACTTCATGTTGCCAGTGCTTTTCTTTATGATATGTTATATTTTTACCCTACAGACCAACATCTTGAGAACTCATATGAAAACTCACAGTGACCAGAAGAACTTCTCATGTGACCTATGTGGAACCTCCTTTCGCACAAAAGGCTCCCTGATTCGTCACAATCGTCGTCACACTGGTACAGACAGTTAACAAAGACTGTTTTGTTTATGATTCCATGTCTTCTAAAACACCTTATATGATAACTTTCTTCCTGTTTCCTCATAGATGAGCGGCCGTATCGCTGTACCCTTTGTGGCCAGTCTTTCAGAGAGTCCGGTGCCCTCACAAGACATCTAAAGGCCCTCACACCCTGCACAGAAAAGATCCGCTTTGTTCAGTACAAGGAGATCTTAGTCAGCAAAGATGGTATACAAAAAGGTAAGATTTATACACCAGCTGCTGTTATTTTGTGACAAGTATGTTTGTGTTAAAGAAAGTAGCTTGACGGTCCTTTACAATCTATTCTATCAAAGCAAATACATGGCTATTGATGGAGTCCTTTTATATCAAAGTCGACAATGTACGAGATTGAGAAATAGATTAAGAAAATCCAAGTATCACTGACAGGTCTGTGTGCATTTCACAGGAGTCGATGATGCAGTGGCAGGCCAGCAGCATGAAGTGGTGGTTTTGGAGCGTCAGCCAGAGGAGGAAGAGGTGGAGGAAGAGGGGATGGTAGAGGCTCAGACTGCTGTGGTCAGTGTGGTAGAGGCTGGTTCCCACGAGGTCCTCCATCAGGTCCACTTCACAATGGAGGTGAATGGAACAACGCTGGAGCAACAGGTTAGTAGAGAAACACATTTAGTCCTGCTGTTACCAATCAAATATACACAGAACACATATATTTTCCATAATACTTTTTGGTACATTATTTGCAAAAATAAAGAACATTTAGATTTAGTATGAGATAATTAAGCCTGTAACTTTTATTTTATTTTATTTAACCTTTATTTAACCAGATAAAATCTCATTTACAATGCTGACCTGGCCAAGAAGGCAGCAACGTTACACATTTTTACACATAACACAGACATATAAAATACAGAGAACACAATTAAGTAAACAAAGAAACGAAAAGCAGTCACTACATTGTGCACAATTGGGACAGTAAGAAAGGTACTACTTATTACTGCAAGAGCAGCTGGTGGTAAGGACCTCAGACAAATTCAATTTAAAAGAGGCTATTGGGACAAGTGCCATCAGTTTGAGGCTTGATTGAAGGTCATTTCAAGACCAAGGACCATAATGAAAAAGACTCATTTTTCCAGCTTCAGTCCGCACGGCAGGTACCTGGAACCGTATCCAGGCACTGGATCTGAGGTTGTAAGAGTCACAAACTGGAGCAAATCTGGCACATATATGCAGTGGAAGCTTACCTAAAATGGCTTTATACATTAATAAAAACCAGTGCTGCATCCTACGCATAGTAAGTGAGGACCATCCAGTTAGGCTATAAAGTTTGCAATGATGAGTCGTATAGGGTGCATTTGATGTATATCGCAGTGCAGCATGGTCGAGTGGGTCAAGTTTGGCCAAAACAGTGGGACAGGCAAATCTGAAACTGTCCTCCAACCTTTCATGTTTTCTCTTGCCTGTGGTCAGGTTGTAGTAGATCAGTCTCAAGCTGAAGCGCTGGCCGCGGCTGCAGCAGCTGGAGGCAACCTCATCTGCCAGGCCATCATCAACTCTGGCATCGCCCTGGAGACAGAGGAGGGCGTGGAGGAGGGCGTGGAGGAAGCCGTGGAGGAAGCCGTGGAGGAAGCCGTGGAGGAAGCCGTGGTCGAGGAGACCTCGGAGGCAACGGAGGAGATGGATAAAGAGCATTCTGACTGTCCTGATGAGGATGAAAATTTCACTGAGATCCATATTAAAGAAGAGTTTGAAATGGAAACAGAGGTAAGGATGAGAGTAATAATGGTATTGACCAGTTAACTACTTACATTCTTCTAGCAGTTATGTTTTTGCAATGCTTTGTAAAAAGGGTTCAATTTCTTTCTTCTTTTTGAAATATTAGCTATTTATAATTTGTAAGTACTTAGCTTTAAATAACTGACCATATTGCCAACTGACTTAATAATTAATCGTCATTTTGATTTGTTTTTTTTTAAGTTTAAGAAACTGAAAAACTGAACTGAATGTCTTGTTGTCTGCTTTTGATTCTTTTGCAGGAAGCAGGAGATGGACAAACATCTTCAAAAACACACAAGTGTCCACACTGTAGTCGCTCTTTCAAGGGACTGAATTATTTCCGCTTTCATGTCAAGGGCCATTTGGGTAAGTCCAAAACTATAATTCATGACTCACAGCAGCATCACTGTATGCTTCCCTCCTAAAATCCTTTTGATTAACCTTAATCAATATGTGAAATCAGAAGAAAGCACAACTTTATCTTGTTACAAACAAAAATATTAAATTCTTCTCTCTTTCTTTTCTCTTTGTGCAGGTTACAAGCCTTTTAAGTGCACGCTTTGTCACAAAGAGTTTCTAACTGGTTACCTGCTAAAGAAACACATGGAAGTCCATGTCAGTGAGAGGAGGTACAAGTGTGGGGAATGTGGCAAGCTATACAAAACCATTGGGCATGTACGTGAGCACATGAGGGCCCACTCTGATGAAAGACCCTACCGCTGTTCCAGGTGCAACAAGGGGTACAAGACCAAGGTAAATTGTTTGTAGATATTAGTCTTTGTTTTGTATTAAATGCTCAACTTGTATTCATATTACAACATATTTCGTCACCAAGTTATTATTCACAGACGTATCTTTCTGTCTTGCTCAGAATGCCTTACAGGTGCATCAGCGGACCCACGGTGATGAGAAACCTTATGTGTGTCAGTTCTGCTTACGAGGCTTCAGGGAGAAGGGTTCGTTAGTGCGACACATCCGCCATCACACCGGAGAGAAGCCTTTCAAGTGCCCAAAGTGCAGCCGAGGCTTTGCTGAGCACGGGACTCTGAATCGGCATATGCGTGCGAAAGGTCTCTGTAGTTGACAGATCACAATACTTGAAGATTAAATGTACTTGCTGACACAGACAAACATAATAACAACGGCTCTTGTTTCCCACCAGGAGGCTGCCAGAAGGACGGTTGCGGTGAGCAGCAGGAAGTGGAAACGGAGGAGCAGGCGTCGGTGAACAGCCTCGCTACGGCAGCCATCATCTCAGAGGATCCTCATGCCGTCCTGGTGGAGTTCTCCTCAATGGTGGCCGACACACAGGAGTACATCGTCAAGGTGAGACAGGGAATAAGGGTTAACAGAAAGTGGTGTTTCTCCCCTTACTCAGAGTTTGATGTTTGTTAAAGTGTGAATCCTCAGTAATTTTCTTTCTAGATAAAACTTGTTTAAGTGATACATGATGTCACAGGAAGTGTTTTTTATATCAATCAATAGCAGATTATGTGCTGTTACATCACTGATTCAAGTGTTTTGAATCACTTCAATTTGAAGTGAATTGAATAGTTTGCTGATGAGAACGAATTACTTTCTACCGTCTTTTGCAAAGTGCAGATACTTCAAGCTTTGAACACACGTTTCAGGCCTGTTAAAGAGGGTCTCTTGATTGTTTGTAGTTTTTTTATTTCCTCCTGACTATCATTTTTTTGGAAACTGGACCTAACCTTTGCAGATGTTTCCTTTTCTTACAAATTCCACAGTAGAAATAACAATGCTTATGAAGGGAAAATAACTCTTTTTACATTACATTACATGTCATTTGTTAGATGCTTTTATCCAAAGCAACTTACATGCTCAATACTGTGGACAATCCCCACTCTTGACTGTTAAGATAAATGTTCCCAAATACAGTACGCCGGTTTGATCCATGGCTGCAGGAAACAATGGGTTGAAAGTTATTGATTGTGAAAGAGGCTCGACCAAGTATTAACTCCAAAGCTGCACACTGTTATCAAGTAACCGACTGAATACGAGACTTCTCATGTCTGAATGAAAAATAAAGGACTTGACTAGTGGTGGACTATGTAGTTGACAGCAAGTTACACTAAACTTAAATAGCATGCGTAAACAATATCTCCAAAAAGTAGAGCGGATTGTGCTCATTATATTTCAAGGTTCTTATGACTAGAATCAGAACACACATTGAATCAAATGCATGTAATTAATACTTCCTAACATTCTGCTCATATTTGTGATTAACTTTATTTCCCTCATTTCTTTTAGACTCAAACAGAGGAAGACGTGCAAGAAGAAGAGGTAACACTCTTTCAAGACAGCCAAAATGAGGTCAGTATACACAAATACACACACTAGCGCACAAAATGAGATGTGTAGAGTTTATGCAGAGATGAGAATCTAATGATCTGATAAGCACTGTTAATTGGGTTTTCATTATCTTACGCCTCTTCTCCTACCTCTTTTCTACCAAACCTGTCAGATGGGAAACACCATCATGAAAGTGGTGCAGCGAATAGTCAGCCAATCGCAGGCCGCCGGCAACACGGGCAGCCACCAGATCATCGTGCGCAACATGGCGATGGACGAGGAGGGCGCCTCCATCTCTGACTGCGGGGACACCATCACCATCGCTACACCAGAGAGCCTGACGGAGCAGGTGGCCATGACGCTGGCCTCAGCCATCAGTGACGGCACGCTACTGGCCACGACGGGTACCGTGGAGACGGCAGATGGGACAGTAACTATGCTGACAACTGAAGAGACAGTGGAGGAGGGAATACACATGGTGCAGCAGCAAGAGGAATACGTCATCACATCCCCAGAGGAGGTGGAGATACAGACTGTCATTGTATGATCCACGGGGTTACTGACTATGGACTGATACATTTGGCTGGACTTTCCCTGTAGCCGAGAACTGTGTAGAGTTTATGTAAGCTCATGTGTGAGATTTGATAACTTAACAAAGGCCAAAGTGTTTCTAAAGTTTATAGCTACATAATTAGAACAAAAGATGTGAAACCTAAAGAATGAGTGGGCATGAGGACTATCATGTTTTAGTTTTTGTTCATTTATTTAATTGCACTGCATTCAGTATGCCTCCTATTTTGTTTAGGTGCATATCTCTTGTTAGGTGGTACAAACTGAACATTCTTTGCCTTTAATCTTTGTTCCTGTAGCCTGGTCTCCTTTATTTGCTGCAGTCAAAAAATGAAATTTCTTTGTATTTTAATACCTAAATCGGCATCATTCCGCAGTGTTTCTGCTCTCAGATGTTCTTTTCACCTTCAAATTGAAATGTGATGCCTTTTTGAAGACGGACCGATCAACAACTGTGGCGTGTGCCTGCCTGTTTAAGGCCATTTAAGGAGACCATTAACCTCCCATAGTGCAGTGTTAAAGCATAATGCATCTTTAAGCATGACAGATACACCAGAAACTAACATTTGGTCCGTTTACTCGAGCAGAGTTTGCATCAAATAAATGCTATTTTCTTATAAAGTTGGCTCTCATTTATCTTTGTTGCTATCATGATTTTTGTCTGACCCTTCAGTGTGTGAAATCTATCAAAATGATATAGAGAGAAGCAACCAAATACTTGGTTATTACTTGGTTACTGTAAATGGTGATGTCTTGCTATTTCCAATCTACCTTACCCTGTCCTGTCTGCAAGTTTAATCATGTTGTATTATTGTTGTTAGCATTTTATCATCCTGTGCAGCGGTCTTCTTCAATGTATTCTCTTTTTTTAAAGAAGTGTGTAGCTGTAGAGAGAATTTCATCTTCCATCTCATCGTGGGAATAACACCTGCTTTAAAAGCACGCACACCTGCCAGGTAAAACACAGCAACCTCTGGGACACATGTACTCTCCAGACTTGTTCTTTCTGATGTTGTGTTGTAAACTTTATAAATAATTGCCCTGCTACACTTATTTCACCAAGCTGATTGTCTAAGCTGAAATATTACATGCAACTTTTAGCATATATCTGCAGGCTGTAACTGGTGCTGGAGTAGCGAGGTTAAAACAGCCGCTTTAATCAGAGAAATGTCCCCGGCTGGTGCAACACACACTGGTTTCTGGGTCACTCCTCAGCCCTCAGAGAGGGCCCTATCCACATGAGCAACCGAAGAAGGCAGAGAGAGAGGGTGGGACAGAGAGATAGGGAAAGGTATTTATAGAAAAATGGGGCTTCACAGTACCTTTTCTTGCAAAGAACCATTTCAGGACCAAGTGAGCGTGTCCCACTTTTCTGATCATCTCTCAGCCATTGGGTTTCGATAGAAGCTGAGGCTGGACTGCCTCACCCAGGTGGAGAGCCTTTCTTTCAGATGCTCTCCCCCTTCCTGCGGCCCCCCTCTCCACAGCTGCTTACCGCTGGTTTTCTGATTGAGAACAGTGGGAGGCGTCGCCCCATGATAACCTACAGATGTGACCTTTTAGGCACACTTGATTTGCCTTGCTCTGTAGAGGCTTTTGGAGGTAGTGAGCTCAGGTGAGGAGCAGCACAAAGGTGTCCAAAGACACCCTTTGGCTGCATCACCCTCCGGGCCGGGGGCAAAGGAAGGCTGGCTGGAACGTGCCCTGCCGCTAGCCGGGCGAGGATGAGGCGCTTCCTGAGCAGAAAGGGTCGCTTCTCCCTGCGCCAGAGCAAGTCTGGAACCCGGAGTGCCTCCAAAGATTTCTGTAAGTCTCTTTCTCTGAATTGTACTTTGTAGTTCCTGAATTGCTTCATCTGATGGAGGTAAGATAAAGAGGAGAGCTTATGCTGACATTGTGTAACTAGGTTGCAGGCTGAGAGAAAATGACTGAAAGAAGTCTTGACAATCCTCTGAGTGCTGCATGTGTACTGATGGTGAGGATTTTTGATCCACAGCTCCATGTCAGTGATTTCCCAATCTATTTTAGATCAATAATCAGCTGTTTGATGTTTCTTCGCTGCAAGCTGACACCACATTCTGTGACTCTTTGGTTGCCTTCAGATTTGACATGTTTTATTCACTCAGCCACATCTCTCCCTGAATATTTAGCCCTTTGCTAAACTGAGAACTGCCTTGTCTTTTTTCGCAGTGAAGCAGATCAGATATTTCTCACATTTCTTCGTAAATCTAAGTCTAATTTTCTCACTTCTCGTGCACTTTTTAGTTCGTTTTCTTCCTTCCCATCTCTAATTGAGTCTATTTATTTCTGTCTTTCTTCACCTTTGTCTGAGTTTTTTGTTTGATTTTTGACAAACATTTGATGAAGTTAGAAATGATACAATTCTGCCTTATTTAAGCTGTAATTAGCCTCTTAATGCAAATGGGAAAAGTGCAATGCAAGAGAGCAAGTCAAAACAAAATACAAGATAATAATTTAACTCAATTACATAGGAGTTTTTACAAGCACAAGGGTTGTGAATGATCATGTTTTGATCCTGAATATTAAGCGATTATGTTGTGTTTGGTGAGAAATCAGAAAACAGAACATGGACTCACAGTTCCCTGAAATGTTCTATAAATATCTTTGACATATCTAGATGAGTTGAGATTAAGTGAGCCTGTTGGGACTCTTGCTGCCGCAGTAGAATGAGGCCAGTGACCAGGGGAAGGCCAGCGGTTCATGTGGGTTAGATAATAAAAGTCAGAAATAACCTTCTTCTCTCTGTTCTTTCATTCATCGAATAGAAAAACATCTTAAAATCTGGAATGTGCATTCTGTGTCTTTACTATGCAGTATATTTGTGGCTTTATTACTTTATATGCGTGGCTTCATTACATGAATTACCGATTTACCTGCTGCTACAGCTCGTCAGTTTGCATTACTGGGATGCCCTATTTAACTGTACTGTTTGACCTCCATTTAACAGCTCGCAACCTGCTCGTCTGTATCAGCAGCTTGCTCCAGATTAACAATGTTCTTTCATGCTAGTGTGACATACATATCCTTTAAGCAGTAAAACATTTCACCTTCCAATTAAAAACCCATTGAAGTCTCAACAGACACAATTCTTAATGGCCTTTGACTGTCACTTGTTAATGAACTTGCAGCATTTTGCAATTTTCCTTTTCTGTCCATCTTCCAGACCTTGGCCTCCCAGCAACCAATCAGAACTGGCCCGAGGCGTTTGGCTTCCGACTGGGTGGCACTGGGCCCAGCTACATCCTGTCCGTGGTGGAGGGCAGTAGTGCCTACCTGGCTGGCCTGCAGCCCGGGGACCAGGTGGTGGACATCGAGGGCCAGGATGTGACCAACCTCAGCACACCGGCGCTTGTCGCTCTGGCTCAGACCCTCAAGACGGTGCCACCTAGCATCGGAGTAGTGTCACGCATCGAACAGGTTTGCTCAAAATTCCCATTTGTGTTTTAAATTAAGGGAGAGTCAGTAAAAACACACTTAAAGGTCTCCTATTATAATATTTCTAGACATATATTATAGGTCTCAGATATATAAAAAACATGTCTATGAAGTGTTTTGCTCAAAATACCAAACAGATCACCCATTCTAGCCATGCCTCATACCCCTCTATTTCAGCCCTGTTAGAGTAGTGCTGATTCTGGGTCCGTAGCTTTAAAAAAAGAAATTAAAAAAAGAGAGCTCATGCAGGAGAATTCTACCCAGACACTCAGCTAAACGCTGCCGTGACTAAACGCCATATTATGTTCCAAACCACATCAAGGATTATTTCTGAAATGGTATGGAGCTCAAATGCTTTTTCTCTCGCGGGTTTACCACAAGGTGACTACCTTTTTATATCCTGCTTTTTTACATATACTCTCTCCAGTAGAGAGTGTTAGCGATGCTTACTAATGTAAACACAGACCATATTACTTCCAATACACGTCGCGCATTGTTTCTGATTCAGCGATGTTTCTGATAGGGCCGTGGGCGTAAAGCCAGCCCGCATTTCCGATATTACGTCATGACCGCAGCAAATCTTGATCAGCTCCGTTGTACCCCCGTTTTTAGAGATGTGGGTAAGGAGGAAAATAGAGAGGGTTGTATTTCCGGATACTTTGTGAGTCACCTGACACACAGGGGATACAATACATCAAAAAGTGCATTTTGCATAATAGGGTACCTTTAAGTACTTTCCCCTTCCTCAGATTGACGTCACTCCTGGCCCAGATGGCCGTTTTGGCTTCACCATCATCGGAGACTGCCCTCTGATGGTGGAGGACTGCATGCCCAACGGTCCTGCCGGTCGCAATGGCCTCAAGGCCGGGGACTATGTCATGGAGGTCAACGGCATCCCAGTGAAGCATCATGAAACGGCAGCGGCCATGATCAAAGCCGCTCAGGGGCGGCCTCTGCGTCTGGGCGTGCTCAGTATGGCCCGGCGGCCCAAGAGGCTGAGCAGCAGCATGAGGGTGTTGTCGCAGAGCGGGGACAGCATCAGGGAGAGCCGCGCCCACAAGGCCATGGAGTTCAATAAGAAAGTGGGTGTGAAATCAATGTTTGAAATTGTATGTGATTGGTGCATTTTCATTTTCTGTATGAATTAATGTACGGGCGTTGGTTTACCCCTCAGGTGGAGGAAGTGCTAGGGGAGGAGCTGGATGTGAAGGAGCAGCTGTTTGAGGTTCTGAAGCGGTACGCTGCCGAGAGAGACGTGGAGAGTCTGGCTGAGGCGCTGCCCGACATCTTGATCACAGAGGAGCACCAGCAGCTGATTGACAACGTCAGGTAGCTAATCAGAGCTTTTTTAGGTTGAAAACGCAAGATGCTGCACTGACTGCACTGCTTTGTTTTAGTAAAAGAGGCCTGAATCAGACTGAGAATTTGTTCTTTTATTTTGCCAGGCAACCACAGAATGAATGCTAATGTCAGCTCGCCACAAACGCTGATTTGTACGCTTTCCTTATATTTAAAAAAGGCTTTACAGTTTAAATGAATGAAAACAGTTTAACCAAACTCCCAAGTAACACACTCATTTACCACCCAGGCTGCTGTTTTTCTGTTCAGGTCACAGTTAATCCCGCCTCTGAATCAATCCAATTGGATATTAGGAAAACACAAAAGCATTAGACAAAAAGCTTCACCCACATTAAAAACAATTACATAAAAGTCATCCCCAGGCTTCTAAAACTCCCTCTGCCTGTCAAACATGTCTGAATGGAAGCTGTGTGTCTTGTTTTAACTCTGTGTGACTAACCAGTCCTATAGTCCTTCTTGTGCTGTGATCAAACATGTCTTGTGAGATATAAGAGAATTTCTTAAACTGTTTATACCCCCTCTTCCCCCACATTAATACAGACTTCAATGCAAATTTAAATCAGATTGCAACACATTTCTGCTTTACTGGTGGCTTGACATCTTGTTTGGATATCTGTCACTACAGTGATGCAACCAGGACACTGCATCAATATTTTAGCCTGCAGTGCCGTTTCCAAAGCTGCTTCTGTTGTCTAAACTCTCAAAGGGTTTACGCGCTTGTTAATGTGAACAACCAAAACTTCTTTTAAGATGTATTTTTTGTATTTGGGTTGTACATTGGTGAACTGCTAATGCTAAAAACCTGCCTGCAACACGTTAAAACATACACAAATATGGGAGCAAAGTTAACTAACCACCCAGCAAGACATTCCAACAAATCCAAACTGTCAATAAAAAATGAGTAACCTTTTAGAAATGCCGGAAAAACATCAACAACAACAAAAAAAGTCAATCGTCTATACATTATTGAATCCCTTTTAGTGTAGTAGGGAAATTAATACTCAACATGCAGATAATACCCTGGCTGTGTAGTACTTTTCAAATATTCCAAACCTATTATGTCTTATACACAGTTACAGCCATAGGATTCACTGCACAGCCTTTACACAACAATCAGGGCGGAGACGTGCTGCAAAAACTCCTTAATTTCCTCATGGAATCAATAGTTTAGAAACTCCCCCTCTCAGCATTTGACTGTGAAACTTGGGAGAGGTGTACATCAAGGCACATGTGAGTAGCTGACCTGAAGTAAAGCACTGACTGCTGTCCTTCAGTGCTCGGATATCTCTGTTTCTCCCCTCTCCGTTACAGTACACACGAGTATAGTTAGAAATTCACCACAGAATATTGCATTTCTTCGTCCTCAGCATTGATCGGAAAATCAAAACCCAAAACTCAATATGTCTGCATCTTCCTGGGCTTTCTATTTTTTTCCAGCCACCTCTCGTTTACCTTTTTTCGCTCATCTTCTCTCACTTTGACTTCCTCTCTAAGTCTCTTTCTTCCCTATTTCTTCCTGTCGCCTATGATGCACCCTTTGATTTTTTTTTCGTTTATCACATCACTGGATGTTCCTTATTCCCTCCTCTGCATACAGCTCTTTGCTGGTACAGCCTCCAGTTTGCGGCGGCTGGTTGAGATATGCACACATACGAAAACAGAGAACTGTGCAGATGCTCACACAGCACTGATTCTGACACACATGCCTTCAGTCCTTGCTTTGAAGTTCTTTCCGGGGAGAAATTATGAACTGCTGCCTTAGGTGAGTACTGAAAAACAATTTGGCATTATACATTTGCAGATTTTGTCATCAAGTTTATTCATAATTTATGATGAATAAACTGTACTGATTTTAAAGCATTCTGTGGTGACAATCGATTAGCATTCAGTTTTTCTCATTGATTAATTTCGTATTCCTGCGAGCTAAAAAATCAAAGCTGTGCTCCATCTCATTTTCCTCCGACACAGCTGTCTGTCTCACAGCTTGAGCAGCACATTTCCTTCCTTAGAAATCTGCCTGCGAAAAATGCTTTGTAATATTTGTTTTGCACCGGATTTCCATTAATTATGCATTAACTGTATCCATAGAGGACCGTTAGCTGTTTCCTCTTACCTTCAGCCAATACAAAAAGTAGAGTAACTCTCTTAATAGTAGTCTGAATCTCTCTTTAGATAAATCTACTTCAGATAGCTGTAGTTACCCATCATTTCATCCCTATGTGCTTATTCTGGTGCACTGTAACCTTGACAGGCTTTGATATGCAAAGTTTTTCCTCTCGCTTTCTCTGCCTGCTGTGTCATTGCGTTGTTGACATTATCAGCGCTGATGAGCTGTCACTTTGTGCAACAACATCTTCTTTATGGCAATTAGTCCGTGCAAATTTCACTCTGGAAAGAGCTACACAATATTCATATTGCAGGTTGGGAAAAGCTCTTGATGTTTACAGCATAATCTGGTGAACATGTTTCTGTGATCGGAGCCCGAGGGAGTTTGGCTTCCAGGTTGTTCGTTAGCCTCGGGGCGGTGATGGTGTTTATGGCTGCTGCTGCTGGCAATTAGATGTCTCATCCAAGGAGAGAAATGTAATGTGGAGTTTATTTTCTGTTCTTGGGGAAATGTGTTGCTGATTATATTTTGATTAGGCATGTTTCAAGGCAGCTTTTTTTCAAACCTTGTTAGTGGTAACCTTTAATATCTCAATATCTGTCAGATGGTTTGGAACACAATTAGAACATTCTGGGTTTGAAATGACTCCTACTACATTTAATGATTCCTTTACTCATACCCAGTGCTTCCTTTAGGGGGACATTTGTGACCTTTAAAGAAATGTCTCCAAAACTTTAAATTGCCATCATTTTGTACACATATTCACATCCCCATCAACTTAGGTGAGCACTTCCCTTTTCCTAAATGCCATCATCAGGTTGAAATATTTATTTTAATTTGTCCAATGCTTTGGCTTATGACTAAATATCAGCAAAACTAATGATAGTCTAAGTTGTTTTTTAGTGCTGATTGGCAAATATTAGTATGCTGACACCCATAACAAGTGCGAGCTGGTCTGAAAGTGTTGATGTTGTCTGCTTTCTCCATTTCTTTTGTTCCAATGAGGGTGGAACAATTTTGAAAAAATATATACCCGTGATGTTGACTGATGTTGCAACTGTGATATTATATCCTAATGCCTTGTAAAACTTGACCAGCTGGGCCACTGTGCTCAGTCTGCCTCTGTCCCCTCGCCGATTTGCCTCACTCTCCCACAGGATGTGTTCTATTTTTAAACAGCCTATTTCTTTTAATAAATTCTCTTTTAGGTTTCTGACACATTTGCCAGTTTTGATTTTGTAACGGCTCTGAAACCAAAGGTTAGCGAGGGCTTGAACACTCGGAAATTATGCAGAAGCTTCTGTATCTGGAGTGTCATTAGAGATAATGTTTGAACATCTACTTGCTCTTTTGTTCACGCGATTCTGCAGTGTTATGGTAATTGAATGTAATTAAAGTTAACTGAAGGCCTTTGTCTGAAACTGTATATAGACTTCAAAGATATGAATTAATTAGACGTGTGCACTCAACCCAGGATGCAGTGCTGTTTTTTTTTCTTTTGTTTTCATTATTATTTGAAAACCAGACTGTTTCTGCCTTTTACAAATGTTTTATGAATCAATCAGACAAGTTTTTGTTGGATAGATGTTGTCATAGTTGTTGCACAGACATGGCTGTCAAGGTTCTTGTGCCATCCCTTATGCACATTATCGGTTCTTACCCCCCCCCCCCAACACACACACACACTCACACACACAATCATTGTGCTGACCTGCCAATGCAATTCCACTGGGGCTCTCCTTCTTGTCTCAACTTCTCTTCTCTCTCCCTTCTCACTTACTTCTCTGTTCCTCCCATTCTTTCCTCCACTGAGGGAAGAGAAGATTTATCACACACTCACTCTTACTGAAAAATGATGGACGACTCAGTGATGAGACTTATCTTTGAACTATGATTGAGGAGAGTACACTACCCTGCGGTTACCTGGACTCCTTGATTCTTTAGAGGGCGAAAGATGGGAAAAAATGGGGAGTGCCGCCCCAAACATGAGCATGGAGAACAGCTGATGGTGCTACCTGAGGATGTTTTGGAGGTGTGGAGGGATGTGAACCACTCTTCCATTGTGCTCCCTCCCTCTCTTTCATTCTCTCTCCTTCTTTCTCTGGCTGCTTTCCGAGCCTGCAGCAAGCACTTTTGAGATTCAGGACGCCTTTCTTTTTCTCATCTCTTCTGTCCCCTCTTGTCTCGGAGAGTTTGTTTATTCAAACGAGACGGGGACTCACCCACATGGAGAAGAATCATTTGCATTGCTTCACTGAGAGCAGGCACTTCCTCAAAGCCCCCAAGAACCATGGGAAGGGATAGGAGCCTTTCCAGACACTTTCGGTATGGGACTTTTTCTGTGATCTCAGCAGTGTTCGCTGTGCTTTGAGTTGTTTGTGCTGACTTGTATCTGAAGTGTTGTTGTGCAACTGTTTTCTGTGTGTGTGTGTTATCTTGTCTTATTGAAGATCATTTTACACTTTCTGTCAGCATATAACATTATAAAACTCTTTTCTGTCCCAAATCTCATTCCAGCATATGAAACTGCGAGATTCTAGCACAACTATTTTTTAAGTTTGACATCTCCAAATAATTGCTGATACTTTTCTTTGTTTTGGCTGTCTGTGGTTTCGCAATTAAACTTTGTGTCTGACGCTATGCTTTGTGTTTGCAAATTCATAACTGGCCTAGCTGTCAAATTAGCTGATCCGAAGTGGGTCTCATTATAATGGTTATTGCAATGAGTTTTCCAGCTGAATGCAATTGTCATTCATCCCTCTGTGTGCTGTGTCCTTGATCCACCCCTCCTTTAGGCCTAATTATAGACGCTTCTCGCCCTCCTTCAATTGAGGGCATCCTAAAGCCTAAATCAAACTTCATTGAACAAAGCTATGAAGTTTCTGCTCGCTTGTTTTGGCATGTTTACAAGATTCAATAGGTTAAATATTCTTGCTGAGATCGTAATATGACAGAGAGACTATGTTTTTAGGCAATTAAAGTCACAGAAATGATTGCTGCCACAAATACACAATAAAGGGCCCCATTCAGTTTAGTTTTCCCTATCTGCCGTTTGTTGAGACACACCGGTGATGTATGGGTGCAGTTTGTGAAAGTTTTGTGGCCTACATCGCCTGAGAGCACATGCTAGCCTGCTTCATTCCCAAAAGTTACATGACCCTGACCTAGAAAGAGCTCTAGTTCTCCACTTTCTCTCTTTCCCTGCCTTTGACTCATATGTTACTACTTGTGTTTTCATGTATATCTCTGCAGCTTTTTCTTTCATGCTTTATATCCACGAATCACTCACTCTTTCAATAACTCTGTCTCTTTGTCACTGACTCTGTTTCTTTCTTCTAAGTGCAGAATTAATTAATTTAGTTTTGTCATGTCTCAATCTTGACTTCTTCTTGTTGTAGTTCTACTCTTGATCACACATCTGACCTAAGAGATAGCACTTCAGAGCAGTCTGGTGTTGCAGATGAGCACATTTCAGTCCTCTGGGAAGGGTTTCTTTTGCATGAACCTAGCATTTACACAGGGCTATTTCTTATATGGATGTCTTCGATGTAAGCAAAGGAAATGTTTAAGTACGTAAGTGATTATCCCTTCAATATGATACTTTACGTTTATTTTTTTGATGTGGCATTTAAAAACACTTATGTATGTCAACAAGGAGCCTGCAGGGATTGGACCAGGATTGTACACAACAGATAGATAGTTTGTAGATGTAGATTGTAGTTGATACAAGAGACTCCCAGCCACTTTCTGAATGATTGACAGTTTTACATTTGTATGGTGATCAAGAATCCGAAGGATGCACAAATCTTTTCAGCCTGTTGTTGCTCTGGTCAGAGATCTCAAGTTAGTTTTTGATTTAAGGGTAAAGCTAAGGTAAGCAGGAGCATCCATATTGTGTTTTTTTTTTTTTAAAGCTTTGTGTAATATAGCCTGTTGTTGTGGCATTTGTGGCTGTAACTGCAGTTAACTCAGGATTCACCTTTTGTGACTAGTGTGAGGTATGACTGATTTATTGTAGGGGGAAGCTGTGCTGTTGCTGCGGTGCTGTTTACTTGATACTGGTTGAGACAATTTCACTTGCAACATACACCCATAAATAAGGCGCTAATATTGGACACTAGACTGACTAATGGATTACAAAGCAGGAAAACCTAAAACCAGTGCAATAAATCAACGGTTTTTATGAATAGTTTATCTGAATAGTCTTAAATCTAACTTGCATTACTGACATGGTAATGTATTGAATTTCTAATCTTTCAAGCACAGACTGTTAATTGTGATAAGTGAGGAGTGGTTTAATTGTGATTTCCAGATTTAAAGCTTTTTACCTTATAAGTAAAAGATACAAAGTTACAGAGTGTTTTATTACATCTGTACACTGACTGGCTTTGGATATAGTCCCAGGTTTTATTAGATCAATGTAAAGGTGTCTGCTGTTAGCTGTAATCAAGTCATTACCTGTGTGTTTGGTGTGTGTGTGTGAGAGGAAGCTCTGTGAACTTTAGTCTGTCCGATTTTGTTTAGGTAAGAAACTTACAGAGGGGAAATATGTGCAAGCTTGCATAAACTTTGGATAATGGGAAAGCGCGGGTTATGAGTCACTCATAATTCAAACCTAAAACTTTTCTGTACGTTTTTATGAATCTACCAAATCATCGAATCCTTGACTCCTAACAATGTTCCCCAAACCTACCTGCCGAAGCACTGTGACGACTTACCGATGGGACTAATTCTCAAAAGTAGCTGTTGAGTTGTGCCGTGTATCTGGATGCCTATTAGAACTGGGGCACTGAAAAACCAAAGCACTCGTTTCTCCTCTGCACAGTAGAAGACCCCAGGAGATTCATGATGAAGACAGAGAGATAGAGAGAGGATGGAGTTGAGATGGAGGCAGCATCATTTTGTATCTGGATTGGGGGAGAGTATGCAAAATAGAAAAGGTACAAATGAGGTGTGTGTACATAAAAGGAAATGGAAGATTTTGTGTATGTGTATGCAGAACAATTAGATAAAAGAAGAAAGAAAAAGTGAGAGTGTCCTATATAAAGAAAAATTGCAGCCTATAACACTTTTTTCACAACACAGTTATTGGCAATGATTCTTCCATTTCTGGGTCATTTCTGTTGTTTGCTACCGAACCGTTCGTGTTCCGGCAGATAATTGGCTTGATATAAACGTCATGCAGCAGAAAACACAACTGTAAGAGAGTTTGATGGAGTAAGACAGTTTAAGCATAACAAAACATCAGTGGGTAAATGTCATGTTTTAGAAAACAGACAGAAAGACTGCCTTTTTTCCAGTTGTGTGCTGATGTTGAACAATCCTAGAACAATAAAACTGTCACAAAAGACAGCTTCAATTCAAGCCTGTAGTGCCAACACTCTTTATTTTATTGCCTAGGCACTTTCTTTTCATCTTTGTGTTTGTGGCACTTTAAGCAGACTGGAAGACAAGGGTGCACCACGCTCACAAAACCATACTAACTCTCACTAGATGATCTTAGAATATCCAAGGGTGGGTTATTTCTATAAGAGCAAAGGGGGGATAATAACACTGGTAGGAGGAGAGCAGCTCTTTCTCCCAGATGTATCTCTGGCTCTGAGCTTCCTCCTTTTTTCGCATATTAGCAGGAAGCTGTCTCTGACACTATAACCTGCAGCTGATGTGACGGGACAACACAGACAAAGCTTGTCTTTTATCCCTTTGAGTCTCTCACACACATGCGTACACTCACAAACAAATGTTGGACCAATCCTTTCTGCCTACCTCGGCCCTCCCATGAGACGATATGGACTGAACTATTTTTGGCCCAATTAAATGGAAGCTGCAGCTGGAACAATATGTAGTCAGAACAAGAATTGTTTTCCTGATACATTGGACGATGAATGTTTTGAGAGATCAGGATGGAGGAGGATCAAGAATTTTGGATTTGAAATGCTGTTCACGTGTGATTTTGTGGGTGTGAATCTGAGTTTGTGTCTGATTCCACAATGTTTGCCAGGATCTTCATTCCCAAGAAGCACCGGGAGCGGTTTGACGAGGTGGTCAACCAGAGCCTGATGAGCCGGATCAAAGGGCGGAGCTTCAGCGACCCCAGCCGCCAGCACCTTCGCCGCAGCCGGAGCGAGGATCACGCCGAACGCCTTCTGGTCTCCACCCGAGCCAGTTCAGTGCCACGCACCCACGCAGAGGAAGGCGTGGTCCCCCCCGCCCGCGGCATGCGCAAGACCACCTCCCTCATAGCTGGGCACTCCAGTGGCAACACCGCCAACTGCAGGTCTGTATTTAAAGTTATGATGCAGATTTAGCTTCTTCACTCATATTGACTTCTTTAGTTCCTGGGTGCTTTGGCCTTGTATCAGCAAGAGTCTCATCATCATCATCATCATCATCATCATCATCATCATCATCATCATCATCATCATCATCATCATCATCATCATCATCATCATCATCATCATCATCATCATCATCATCATCATCATCATCATCATCATCATCATCATCATCATCATCATCATCATCATCATCATCATCATCATCATCATCATCATCATCATCATCATCATCATCATCATCATCATCATCATCATCATCATCCCATTTTCACCAGCTGCACAGAGCCAATCCATTTTTAGCTTTCAAAGAAAACCAGTTTCCTAAAATAACATCTTCTCTCTCCTTACGTCTGATCAGAATTATACCCACTCTACATGAGAGCAGCTGTGACGGGTCTTTCTGTGTGAGCACGGAATTTATGTGAATTAAGAGGAGTAGGTGTAAAGATAAAAATACACGGTTCAGTGGTTGGAAGATGAACGCATGTTTATACATACACATTTTTTCTTGCTCTTTTCATCTGCTGTGACGTTGTTTCCTATCATGTCTTTTGATAAAATTGATAAAACTAATCCTCATCAGATTTGGTTGGTTCATGCTGATGTGGTTTAGAGCCCCTGGGATATAGTGTCCATATTTAGGTTTGTTAATGCTGCTGAATATGAGAATCTGCAGGGGGTCCACAGTTGGACTCTCGATTAAACTCATTATTTTTCTAATTGCAGTTAACTTTTTGAACAAATCACAGCTAATGTATCTTTGAGTTATAGTTACTGTAATAATGAACAACTTAAGCACAGTGTGTGTCCATTATGTCTTATATAATACGTGCACCAGGGTTTCTTTGGTAACCCATTCAATTATAAATGTTACTTTTATCATATATTACCACGCACATTTAGCAATCACTTGATCTAGAGCTGAGTATTAGTGCTTACCTGCTTTTCTTTCATTTATAGAGCCTCTGTTCATCCTTCAGTCCTGCCACTAATCAAAGCTCAAATTTGTCAATGTAGGACGGTGAGAGTGTGTAAGGGTAACACGAGCTTTGGCTTCACTCTAAGAGGCCATGCTCCAGTGTGGATCGACTCTGTCATCCCCGGTAAGTAAAATAAAAAAGTGTTTATTTTAATTTTATTACGAATAGTATATGGCGCATGGAATACTTCTTGTTATTTCAATGTTATAACACAACGTTTTCAAACTTTTCTACTGTACTATTCTTGAAATGAAGAAATAATCAAGTCAGATGTCTCTTGTACTCGGTCTCTGTTCTGCAGGAAGCCCAGCAGACAAGGCAGGACTAAAACCAGGAGACCGCATCATGTTCCTCAATGGACTGGACATGAGGTTCAATTTTAAATCTAATTAACACAAAACTGATTATATTTAGATGAATATGGTTATCTGGTTCCTCTGTTGAAAGTGTTTTGTTGTTTGTAGAGCTCACACAGTTATTGACAGGAATAGAAATATAATATCTGATGGATTTAGTAGAAAAACTAGTTCCTAAAAATAGCTCCCCAGAAATTGTGATACTGTGTTTTAACCTTGGTATATTCTCTGCAGAATACAGAAAGCATTGTTTATGTCAGTAAAATGTCTATTTTACTTAAATGGTAGGATTTCTTTCTAGTGTAATGAAATCATTGGCTCATGCAGTTAAAGGCTATAACAGGTGTCTCCATGTGTACCATGTGTCTGCCTGTAGGACCTCGTCCCATGAGAAGGTGGTGTCCATGCTCCAGGGCAGCGGTGCTATGCCCACTCTGGTAGTGGAGGATGGTCCGCCCTCTTTCAGCCTGTCAGAGCAGGACCTGGCGGGGGCCAGCGTTCCCACAGAGGGGGCCCGCTCCCCTGTCCTCAGCTCCCTGCAGTGGGTGGCAGAGATTCTTCCGCCCAGTATCCGGGTTCAGGGACGCACCTTCGGACAGCAGCTCGAGCACCTGCTGACCATCCAGGAGAAGTACACCATCTGCAAGGCTCTGGAGAACTTCTTCCAGCACAGGTGAGTAAGGGTGGGGAATAAGATCAAAAGAAAAGCATGAGGAATGGGGTGAGATCAGACGTGGACATCTCTATAACTACTGTTCGGGCTGTTATGTGCTTTTATATTCAACCATACTGTAATTGGAATTTCATTTACAGTGAAAAGTGCATTGTGGAGGTATACATTTGTTCAAATGAGGTGGTTATTGTTACAATTAAGCCCAAGGTGCAGGTTGGCTCTTATAGTATTTAAGTTTGAGGATGTGCAAGACACAGATTAAGGAAATCTTTTTTTAAAGGACTAAATATGATGAATATACATACAGTATGTGTGTTTATAGCCATTTCCCTGTTGCCTTGTAAAGTCTGTACTACAGGCTGTGTGTTAATAGTTTTTTAGTTCATTAGCCAAATCAGTGGAGTCGCCTGTTATTTTAGTTTCTAGTTTCTTGCACAAGTGGAGGACTTCACCCACAACTTCAACCTCTGATTGAACAGTGAGGCAATCTCTGACCTATCTTTACTTTGTTTCCATGACAACAGGAATGTGGACACTCTGATCGTGGATGTGTTCCCGGTGCTGGACACTCCTGCCAAACAGGTGATCTGGCAGTTTGTCTACCAGCTGATGACGTATGAGGAGCAGGAGCACTGCCAGAGCAAGATCTCACGCTTTCTTGGATACAAAGCGCCAGGTGTGTGGCACATCTGTTTTTTCAAATGTATGAATGAATATAAAGAGTTTTTGTGTGTGCGAGGTTGGCGCTTCATGGGGATCATTGGCTCAGTAAAGTGCAATAAACTCAGGTGCCGCAGCCCTTCATACACCTTTGCCTCTTCCTCTGCATTGCCAATATATGTGTGTGTGTTCTAGTTCCACCACCACCACCTCCTCCCCCTCCTCCGGACCCCGAGGTTGCCCCCGAGCCCCATCGGCGTAGCAGCTCCATGAGGGTGACAGGGACCACGTACAGGAGCAGTGTGAGGGGGCGTAGCTCTGATGACCTGGTCATTGGCACACACTTGGGCATGGGTACAGATCTTTATTGTCTTCATTATCATACATACTAAAGCATATAAATCGGAATAATTGTTTGATAATTGTAGCCACAATTCTTTGGGAGGTTGCCTCTTTGTTATTGGCCCAAAGCCCAATTTAACTGGAGCTGCCCATCAGCCCAAATTGTTCTTGTCCACATCCTGAGAACCTGCCCAAATCTGGCAACCATCAGTCAAACTGATTGGTGTATTGTAATAGGCTTCCGTGCAGAGGCAGTGCTGGATGCAGGGATGAGGTTGGCTCCAGGAGAGAGACAGTCAGGAGATGGTACCTCCCTTCCTGAGACTCCCAACAACCTCACCAATGTATGTAGCAAAGTCCTCATGGGAAATAATAACTATAAACGTTGGACTCACCATCACTAGTGCAAGAGGACTTACTCTGGTTTCTTTGTACATTTCCACCATGCAAGCTGTCGGCAGTGTACGCTGAACTGGAGAACATGTATTCTGGCAAGAGGTCCAAGTCTCTGAAGAATCGTCCTCCTCCTGCCCCCGACAGTTTGCTGGAACTGGAGCCTCCCTCACGCACAGCCTCCCCTACAACACATGCTAACACAGGTAGCTAATACGTACATACACACTAAACTCATAGCAGCTGGAATTATATTTAACTGATTTCCTTTGAAGAATGACTAGCTTGCAATTTGATTGTGTGTCTGCCTGTGTGCCTGCATGTGTGTTTCTATTGTAGAAGAGGTAGGATAACAAGTGCTAAAAAAAAGTATTGAAGTCAATTTCCTTTATTCTTAGATTGGCAATCTTTTCTTTGCCAATATGATTGGTTTAAGTGTATTTTGTCTGATTAGGAAGTAGCCAGCTTAGACTTCATTTGATCTTCCTTCAATGGATACGGATGCATAGTGAATCTATGAGGGGAAGATAGGAATATCCTAAGTCTGCACCAGGCAGAGCAGCCTCTCAGGTTGCAGGCATGTTAGGTTGAAGGACTAACATACACCATCTCAATAATACTGCCAAGAAATACTGAACCTCATACAGTTAGGAGGATATGGTGATGGTGGAAGTGGAACAAGAAAACACACACCTTAATCAAAAATGTGTTTTCAGCAATGGTTAGCTCCACTGGGAGACATGTTTAAACGGCCTTTTGTTCATAACCTTTTTTCAAATGCAGGACTTCCAAAAGTTTGTTACATTAACTTTCATTAATACTGTTTTAGATTGAATGCCTTATGTTTTCTATCTGAAAGACTGTGCACCTGACATTATGTTTTAGAAATGTACCCTTCATTTATAATTGTAGACTGTGTGTTTCCCCCTTATCCCAGGTAGCCGTAAAGCCCCGCCTACATCCTGGCCGGAGCCTCTTCCCAGTCCCCCTCAATCCCAGTTCTATTCATCGGGGCTTACGAGTCAGACCAGTGGGGAGTCTAACCCCTACATCAGCCTGGACAGTCCCCCTACATCCCCTCCAGAGCCCCCTGACTTCCCATCCAGCCCCCCTGCCCACCGCAACAACAAGCGGCGTTACACCTTCTCCAAACCACCGCGCTCAGAAGACACAGATCGCTTTCTGGACGCTCTGAGCGAGCAGCTGGGACAGAGGGTGGCCATCATCGATGACTTCCTGACTCCGGAGAACGACTATGAGGAGGTAGAATTACATTAAGTCTAAAGCTTGATTATAAAATCTATTTTAAGTGTATTATATAACTATCAGAGGACTATTGATGTTTATTCAGTAAATATGTGTTTAGTTTATAATCTGAATAATTAACTGTTTGTGTGATTATTTTCTTTCAACTCTACTAAAATAAACGTAAGACAGTAGATACGCTTCAGTCAGTTAAAGGTTAAGATGAATCTATAAGTATATTGTTTGTTGTAGAATAATATATATATATCTTTTTACAAAAATCCTGAAGGCCACCATGTTCATGTATAAGCTGAAATATTGTAGAGGGTTAGTTCTGCTTGGTACACTTATTCCCTACAGGCAGTTGGCCTTGTATCAAAATGTGAAATAGGACAGACCCCTTGACACACATGGACTTACAGAATGGGTACAGAACATAGTCCCCTAAAATAACAGGGACAAAGTGAAACACATAAGAGAAACTATTGCAATAAATGGCCTCACATACATCACATCTCTTACCTTAGTGGTTGTCCTGCAGAGTTACATGTCAGTATTGTTTTCCATCACTTGGACCTCAAAGAATCATTCAAAATGCCTAACTGTGATCTAATATTGACAAAGGAGCAGCCCAACCATCAACATTTAAGCCACGTCATTAAAACATGCCGTCATGCCCGAATACATTGAAAGGTTAAACACACAACAACTAAATGGAAGTAAGTTTAAAATAAAGTTTTGCCACATAGCATCGTGCTTACTACTTTTGATGTGAGGAGCCTTTGTAGGGTGAAATACTCAATCTGTCATTAAAGTAAGCTTTAGTGACAATCCTGCTAGTGCATGTCAAAATTGTTTAGCACATATATCGCCGGTAGATCCTATAGAACCTGCCCAGTTTTAATAGACAGCCATATTTGTTATAAGTGTAAAAACTCCTGTTGTAATCAATTTTCCATATATTGCTTGACAAGTTTGCCAAAATATTTTTACCACGTTCCACTTTGACATTAAGGGTCTAATGAAGTGTAATTGGTGTTAATACCAGGATATTGTGCAGATGGGCTTCCCAGATGATGATGATGATGATGAGGATATTGAAGAGGACTTGGGGGTGGACGAAGATGAAAATGAAAATGGAGGATTCGTGGCCCCAGAGCTCAGCAGTCCGAGTGATGTTCAAAGCAGCAGTGGAGAAGAGAACGCTTCCTCCCTCACCTACTCTTCCTGCTCTGACCACATCCCTCCACCTCCAATGTCCCCTCCACCACCTCCGCCTGTTCAGTTCAATGACCCGCCTCCCCCACCCCCCCCTCCAACACCTGCACAGACTCAGTCTCAGCAACAGCAACAGCAACAGCTCAGCTACACCCCTGAACAATCCCCAAGAGCATATGTGCCCATCCGCCGGAAGTCTGGCCCTCCTCCACCACCTCCACCTCGCAATCACCTTCCACCTAAACGACACTCCTTACATAAAGTCATGCCCAAAAGAGATGACCTTCAAGTCCAGGCTACTATACAAGAGCTGAAAGCCTTCCAAGAGCAAAAGGTTTTTCAGCAAAGACAAGTATACGAGGAGCAACAATCCTACAAGGAGAGGCAGGAGTATGAGGAGCAGAAAGCTTTTGAAGAACAGCAACTTTTACAAGAGCAGCAAGCTTTCCACGAACAACAGGCCTATCAGGAGAAAATGTTCAAGGAGAGACAGGCGTACGAGGAGCAAAAACTTTTTGAAGAGCAACAACTGTTCCAGGAGCAACAAGCCTACCAAGAAAGACAAGCGTATGAACAGCGCCAAATCTACCAGGAACAAAAAGCGTACGAACAGCGTCAAGCCTACAAGGAGCAAAAAGCATTGGAGGAGCTCCAAGCCTTCCAGGAGCAAAAAGCTTACGAAGAGCGTAAAGCTTATGAAGAGCGAAAAGCCTACGAGGAGCAACAAGCATATCAAGAGCAACAGATCTACCAGAGCCATCACTCCATGCCTAACCAGCCAACACAGCAGAAAGCCCACTCACCGCTTCCTCTCCAACAGCTCCACCAGTCCTTACCCCCACTCCCCTCTCCAGACTCCACCCATCCCCACGCTAACCATCCTCTGTATATGATGCGCCAAGCACAGCAGCAACAGGCCCACCAAAGTCATCTCCACCGACGTCTGTCACGATCAGCCCCACCTCCACACCAGCCGTCGCCCCAACCGACCGGCCATCCTAACCAACATGGTCAATACTCTGAGGGTATCTACCAAAGCCATCAGGGCATGGGACCCCAGGCCCACCATTCGTCCACGGAGATGCTCAACCAGATGCAACAAGCCCCAGCTCATCATTCCTCTGCAGAGATGCTCCATCAGTTGCAACACGCCCAAGCCCACCACTCATCCACTGAGATGCTCCATCAGTTGCAACACGCCCAAGCCCACCACTCATCCACTGAGATGCTCCATCAGTTGCAACACGCCCAAGCCCACCACTCATCCACTGAGATGCTCCAGCAGTTACAACAGGTCTTCTCGTCTTCAGAAATGCTCCACCAAGCGCACAAGACCAAGGCCCATCACTCCTCCACAGAGCTTCTGCACCAAGGTCACCAGATGCAGCAAATGCAGCCCCACCACTCCTCGACTGAACTTCTCCACCAGGCGCAACAGATGCATCGGGGTCAACCCCACCACTCATCTACTGAGATGCTCCAGCAGTTACAACAAGCCTTCTCGTCGTCAGAAATGCTCCACCAAATGCACAAAGCCCAGGCCCATCACTCCTCCACAGAGCTGCTCCATCAAGCTCACCAAATGCACCAAACAAAGCCCCACCATTCCTCCACGGAGCTTCTGCATGAAGACTGTCAAGAACCTGCCTCCCTCCCTTTTCAGGTGAACCGGGACAGCCACTCCCACCAGAGTCGGAGGAGTCTTAAAGGTCATCATCAGACCCCGGTGTCGCCACAAGGGAGACCCCAAGATCAGCAGCTCCACCAAACCCATCACCCCCAGCCCACCACACCTTCTCCCCAAAGACCCCACTCTATACAGCAGACCCACCACCACTCCAGCTCCCCTCAGATCCACCACATCCACCACATGACCCCTCAGCCGCCCCCGAAGGACTACCAACACCAGATTCACGTCATCCACCCTCCCCAGCAGCCCCACAGGCCTCAGCCCCTTCTCTCCACCTTTCAGCCACTCCAGCCACACCAGACCACCCTCTCCACCTTCCAGCCTGTGCCCCAACACCACCAGTCCCAGCACCAGGTCCAGCCCCCCCCCCAAGCCCCCCGCCCGCAGTCCCAGCCTTCACATCACATGCTGCAGTCGCAACACCAGCCCCAAACCCAGGCCCATCAAAAGCAATCCCACAGCCAGAGCCAGCCCCATTCCCTCCCACACTCACTATCTGACCCGTCAGAGCACCGCGACCCCCCTCCCCCTCCTCCCCTGCCTCCACCCTGCACCCCTCCACCGTTGCCAAGGCCTTCACTCTCCAGAATGGACTCCAACCACATGAGTGTGAAGAGGCTGCGCTGGGAGCAGGTGGAAAACTCAGAGGGGACGATCTGGGGACAGGTGAGCTTCAATGTTTAGATTTCCACATTTCTGTCACAAAATTGTAATTCAAATAGTGACATTTTTGCATGATTTTATTAGTTGGGAGCAAATTCTGACTATGACAAACTGCATGACATGGTGAAGTATCTGGACCTGGAGCTGCACTTTGGGACACAGAAGAGCTCCTGTGAGTATGTCACAGATCTGCAATGCTCTAAATAGAAAGCATGGCTGAAAATCATAAAATGATATGCAAAAGCCTGAATGACAAATTATTATTTCTCAGCACATCATTATTCAGGTTCTTGGAGAGTGATTATTTAGGCATTAGGTCTACAGTATTTCACACACAAATAATGTCTGCATGTTCTAAAAATATAACAACACACTAAGCCCCAGCTTTTTTTAATTACTTTTCCTCGCATTTCTCATATTTTCGACCGTAATTGTGGTATTGAGTTTCTTCTGCACTTATTCTACTTCCTTTAATTTGCTTTAAACCTGCTGCAAACAATGTAAAAAGAATATTTATTTCCATTCATCTCTCTTCTATCTACTATGTAAATCCATAACATCTAGGCATTTCACTTACACTGATCTCATTTTAGTGCCTGTTCCAGAGCAATGCCGCCTACCGCAAACCTTCAAGAAGAAAGATGTGATTACAATTCTGTCACATAAGAAGGCCTACAATGCCTGTAAGTAGAAAATAGTATATACTGTATGTTTTTACCATTTGCCCAGATTAATGGTAAAACAGAGATGTATAATCCCTGTTCATCTTCTTTATAACATTTAGCAATCCTGATAGCCCACCTGAAGCTGTCTCCTGGTGAGCTGCGTAAGGTGCTGATGAACATGGTCACTGACCGGCTGGAGCCAGCACACATCAAACAGCTGCTGCTGTATGCCCCCGATGCAGAGGAGGTCAAAAAGTATGAAGAGTACAGAGAGGATCCCAGCAAACTCAGTGAGCCGGACCAGTTTGTGTTGCAGGTACAGTCCTCCCAGAGTGTGGACGAGTGGGTTGGTTGTGTGGTCTACATGTGTCTGTGTGTTTGTTCTCACTCACTTCTTTGCTTGTGTGTGTGTTCTCCATCAGATGTTATCAGTACCAGAGTACAAGACCCGCATGGAGTGCCTCCTCTTCAAATGTTCACTGCAGGAAAAGACAGAGGAGATGAGGGGAGCGTACGACTGTCTTTACAAAGCTTCCATGGAGCTGAAGACCAGCAAGAAGCTGGCTAAGATACTAGAGGTAGCCTACTGTTCAGTGCATTCAAAAAAATAAAAATATGTTATACAGTACTAATATCTCTGAGTGATTTTGAGAAAACCCACAGCAACACAAACCTCCCCACTGCATTTATAATCATATAGTTAAAAAACATTATGCTGTGATTACATCTATAGAAGTGTGTATTCAGTTTGGTTGTTAAACATTCTGTGTTTTGTTAGTTTGTGCTGGCGATGGGGAACTACTTGAATAACAGCCAGCCTAAAACCAACAAAACTACAGGCTTCAAGATCAACTTCCTTACAGAGGTACATCTTACACCAATACATGTTTAAATCATGTGACCAATTTATTTTCAAAGCAGTCTGTCCCAACGTATTATGTTTATATAGATTATAATTGAATGATTTCCTCTGCAGTTGAGCACAACCAAAACAGTGGATGGGAAGTCAACATTTCTACATATTCTGGTCAAGTCGTTATGTCACCACTTCCCTGATGTGTTGGATTTTTCCAAAGATTTAACTATGGTTCCTCTTGCAGCAAAAGGTAGACACATTTTCCTAAGACCTCTACATCACAGCTTAAACATTGGGAACTGGGAAATGGGTTTTTTTATATTGATTTTTTGTATTGATTTTAAGCACACCTTCTTCTCCTTTTTCTATCTCTAGTAAACCAGAGGATTATCACGTCAGATCTGAATGACCTTCATACAACCATACAGGAAATCCGCTCAGCGTGTCAGAAGATGCCTGTGACGGCTGAGGACCGATTTTCTGTCGTAATGAGTGTATCCTTCACAAAATTAACAAAGTAGTGCTGAGATGTGTATTCTGCTAATACAAGAAAATAAAAGTAGAGCCATTGAAGATAAAATAAAACCTTGACTCCAGTATTTATAGAACTTCCTGGAAAACAGTCATCCAGCTCTGCAGTCTCTGGAGTCCCTGCAGCAGAGAGCTATGGAGGAATTCAGCAAAACTGCCTCTTACTTTGGAGAAGACGGCCAATCCACAAACACTGAGGCCTTCTTTGGTATCTTTGCGGATTTCCTTATCAAATTTCAGGTAAGCAAGAAGCATTTGATTATTAAAAATAACCCTACTGGCGAAACTTTACAGCGTTAAAGTTAAAACTATATATATATCACACAGCATGTAAGCATGCAATCCCTGTAGCTCCTTTCCACCAAACGATTTAACATAATGGTTTGCTAAAAAGAAAAATCTTCACCCAGCTCCTTCTGCACAACACAATGGATGCAGAAAAACACACCTCATTACTTAGGTTTTTTGTTTTGAGCACTGCTTGCATTTCATCAAATATGTATAGAGAAAGTCTGCCAGGCTATGGTACTAACTAACTAACAAATGTTCTAAAAAAACACGTTTAAAAGTTATATATTAAAAGATTAATCATAAGCTACAATGTAAGCTAAACAATAACCTTTTAGCATGTTTGACTTGTTCTGTACAGCATGTAGTCTCAATGGACAAATTAACCCAAATATTCACCTTTACATTTTATTATTGTTATCCATTTTATACAGTAAGTGATTTTATTGTGAATCAAGAGCAACTTTATATGTTCATAAAATAATGGGAACAACAGGGCTCAAATCCTTATTTTCAATGCTGATTTAAAAAATATAAAATATAAAAAACCCAAAGATGAAAAGAAAAACATTAAAAAGATACATGCAACACAAAAACTTAGAAAAAGTATCTTAAAAACCCTGTTGTTTCTTTACCACAGAGAGCTCTCAATGATCAACAAGCTGTAGAAAACCAGAAGAGCCCCAGAAGTCAACGACTGGCCTCTCCACTGGCCTGGTAACACACACACAAAGACACACACACATATGGCGAGGACAACATAGTTCATCGTTCATACGGTGCATATAAGTACAGACACAGATCCTAATATACTGTATATACACACACATAAAACTAATGAGGGAGAAACTTTAAAATGAGGCAAAAATAAATGTATTTTGCATCAAAGATGGACGATTAAGCCTTATACCAGTGGTATAGTATATATTGAATATCTTTTCAAAACGAAACTGAGTTTTTGTTGCGTCTAACACTTTAATGACTAAGACTGCTACATAGGAAACCATGTTGTTTGGTTGTCAGGGTATCAGTTACTCAGTAACATCCTGTAGTTAAAGTTTTCTTTCGTTTGGCCTCAACCTAAGTGTGCTACTACAATTCTACAGTGACATATTGATGCTATATGCTCTTATAAGACATAGATTTACAAACATTGATTAACCTGAAATAGATGTTTAATTGAAATGCATTCACGTTCTCTTTGTGGTTAGGAAGAAAACCACAGAAGCAGTTTTCCTGTTAGTTTACGTGTTGTATATTTTTGTAAGCCGCCCACCGCACTGAATGTAACATTAATTCTCTACTGACTAAGTGTATATTATTTCTTCGTTGATCTCATTTGTCCTGATGACTGATTGTTTCATTAGCTGCTTTGTATCTTTGCCTCACTGTCAGACCATTTCCTGAATTCTTTCCATGTCAGTTATAGCCATGTATGTGTGTTGTTCAAACTTCTGATGTTATTTATATGTATACAGCTCAGTGTTTCCCCTAGGATGGAGTCATAGCAGCGGTGCTAAGGCCCAGCGAAATGTGAGCGCGGAGCGCGTGGAATCTTTTAGTGTGTGTGCGTGCGAAGTGCGCCCCGCCAATATGTTTCTATGTGTCTGCCAGCACAAGAAAGGCTCTTGAGGCCTAGTACATACAGCGTAACTGTACACCTTTATTGAACATACAGTAACACAAATACTTCAAATCCACATAAAAAACAATCACAAATCAAAAAGGGTCGCCACTTATTATTATTTGAACTTTTAAAAAAATAAAGACATTTTTATTTTTTTATTTTTTTATATAGGGGAAACACTGCAGCTCTGCAAACAATTAAGAGACCACTGCAAAAGCATCAGTCTCTCTGGTTTTACTATTTATAGGTATGTGTTTGGGTACATTTTTTTATTTTATTCTATAAACTACTGACAACATTTCTCTGTGTTGGAATTCAACAAACACTGGAGTTGAATGGCTGCCATACATGTAGAGATTGACATTTAAGAAAACTTTGGAGTGGTCTCTTAATTTTTTCCAGAGCTGTATATGAGATATTGAGAAGTTGGCACTTACTATTTGTTTTTTAAAGGCAATATGATATGTTCCAATGATCAATTAGAATCGGTCTGCAATCATTAATATAGGCAATAGAAAAATGGGCAGCGGGCAGTGTGCAATATGTGAATGTTAAGCCATGCTTCATTGTTGGATATTATACAAAAAACAATTATACTATATGAAAATATCACTGAAATATATTGTGTTTGTACTGTACAGAATAAGAGTAAATGCTATATTATATAAAGCACTTTGTTATGTTAATGTTACATTATTATAATGTACCAAATATCTCTTATATTGTGTCATATGGACTAATCATAAAATGATACCACTCAGAGGACATTAATGACATTAAGGTTAGTATATCAGAACAACAGTTAATAATACAGCTTGTTTAGACCTGCCAGAGCTCTGTGAAAAATACATCTTAGCCTTCAAGCGATATTCTTTAGAGGTAAGGCAGGAATAATGTGTGCAGCTAGTGAAAGCCTTATTTTCTAATAATGGTCTAGGTTGTTTTTCATGTAAGTTACATAATGCATTGCTCTCAATTTAAGGCCTATACATTGTTAAGTCTGTATTTTGTATTGTACCCTATCGATGATATATAAAGAGTGTAATGAAATCTACTTTGTGTACTCTGTGTTTTTAAGATCTTTGTTTAAAAAACTATGGAAATAAGGTAATTTTACAGAGGAATAATACTAAAAGTACTATTGATAGGGACAAGTGGAATCACATCAATGGCTTCACATACACTAGTGTTTTTACATATCCTGCAAATGTTACGCAGTAAACATCATTATCTTTATAACAGCTGCTGACTCATCTGCTATTGCTAGTCGTGTATCTGTCCTGCTGCGGAAACAACTCAGCTAAACATTTCTTTTTGTGAGATAAACTTGTACACAAACACACTCACAGTTAGTATGCTCTTACCTTGTTTTAATATAATGTCTTCTTTGTAAATTACATGAATTTAAAACGTTTTAAAATAGTAATAATTTAGCGTTCCCATTATCATCAGCGGAAGCAGCCTTTATTACTCTGTTACTAGCAATAATCATTAACATTTTAACTAAACCTTGTCGTATACAAGGTTAAAGTGGAGTTTGATCTTTTGGCAACCCCAAGGATACTTGAAAAACATGACATTCCCGGTATCATGTCATTTGCGACATGCTGTTTTTGTTTGGACCTGTCAACTTAGCTCAAGGAAACCCAGTGTGAGAACGTACTTAAGGTGAGTTTATTTACCAATTAATAACACAATACACAATACACAGCCTGAAGGTAGTAAGGGACTGAGTTGTAGGTTTTATTGATATCTGAATTTCTGTAAATGTTACTACATTCATCAATTAAGATGGAAATGAGCGGCGTATTATTTAATATGTTTTGTATGTATTCAGTTTTATATTTAAGTCCCACAAGGTGCTTCACAGATCAAAGTGCGACACTACCAAGTGCAAACCGTGTAGTTTACAAGTCTAGAGTTAACCTTAAGCTGTGTTTCACTCGTCAGCACATGACAACAGTAGAGCAGGTTAAGAATCCATGTCTACAGTAACTGACATTCATATTTATCTTATAAGAAAACTCTGGCATTGTTGTTTAGGTATGAACGATAACTCTCAGCTGGTCAGTGTTGGAAACATGTGATTCCCTGTGATTGTTACTCACTTAATAATGACTATTAAGAAATCACTTTAGGAATTTAATTGATTAGGGATATAATCCACAGTCCTGATTCTGTTTAAAAATACCTTCCAAAAGTTATTCTGACACTCACATTATCCTCACGTTATGTTGAATAAAGTCATGTTTTGTCAAATCAGTATGTCAAATAAGTACATACTAAAATTGTACCTCAAACTTAGACACATTATACAGCTTTACTTATATCATGACTTTGGAAGCTATTTAACACTAACTAGTCTTACCACTGACTGCTGTAGATGCTACAAAGCAGGAGACATCATTTGTTTATTTCTTTGACTTTAGATGCACTTTGACCTCAGAGAAGGCCGCCAAGCGACCAGCATGCCCCCGTCTCCGTCTCCCTCTCCTGCCCCAGGGCGCAGGACTTCCCTCGATACAGTGGATATCGTGGTGCTGGTCATCTACTTTCTGCTGATTCTGGCTGTTGGATTCTGGGTAATTACTGGTCTCTGTTTTAATTTGTTTTCCAACCATTTTTACATAGTTATTCTGACTCAACAGTGACACATTAAATATTCAACATTGAGTGGATAAACAAGCCTTTCTCGAAGCAGACATTTGAATTTGTCATAGTAGGAGAAAGTGTTGCTGTTAACATGATGACTTGATGCAGCACTTGATATCCTATCATTATTTTTATATGTAGTAAATATCCTATCAAATAGGTCAGGGATCATGATGTATATTAAGAAGCTATGAATCAACATTTCTTCTGCAATTGTATCTTTAAGAGGTTTCTTGTTTTGTTCATACCAGTCAATGTTGAGGACAAAGCGCAGCACGGTGAAAGGATACTTCCTGGCTGGGAAGAACATGACCTGGTGGCCTGTGAGTCAAACACACTTTTTGACACTTCTATCCCCTGTGCATTTTAGCCCTTTAAAAGTTTGATGGAGGCAAAATGTTCTGCACTTCAAAGTAGGATACTGACTCTGGTATCTATATTTAGGTGGGTGCCTCGCTGTTTGCCAGTAACATTGGCAGTGGACATTTCATCGGCCTGGCAGGGTCAGGGGCTGCAGCAGGAATTGGGGCTATTGCATATGAGTGGAATGTAAGAGATCAATGTATGCTTTTTTAAGAGTTAAATACAAGACAAATTGTGACATGAAATATAAAACGTAGTTGCTGTTTTGAAGTGTAAAGAGTTTCTGTTTGGTGTTGACAGGGTATGCTGATGGTGCTGCTGCTGGGATGGCTCTTTCTCCCCATTTATATCGCCTCTGGGGTAAGGGCGTCTAAACCTAAAAGATTACACACATGCATGATACATTTAAAATATTCCTTTATACATAATCATCTTTTAACTCTTTTATCTCCAGGTGATGACCATGCCAGAATATTTGCAGAAGCGTTTTGGCGGTAGAAGAACACAGATATTTTTAACTGTCCTGTGTTTATTTATTTACATCTTTACAAAGATATCGGTAAAAAAAAATTCACAAAAATATGTTACTGTTCCTATGCTGTAACAAATACCTTTATATTTGTGTATGCATTTGAAAGTGGTAGAATTTTGTATATTTTCTGTCTCTGTTTTATATTTCCTGTCAGGTGGACATGTATGCCGGTGCTCTCTTCATTCAGCTCGCCTTACAATGGAACATCTACATCGCTGTGGTGATGCTGCTGTCAATTACTGCTCTCTACACTGTTGCAGGTGACCTTTCTCCCTCTACGCCTCTTTGCTTAGACATTAGACATACACGTGCATTTACTGTTTGTTCTGTGTGTCGCTGGCTGTTGTTTCCCAGGTGGTCTAGCTGCAGTTATCTACACAGATGCTGCTCAAACTGTTATAATGCTGGCAGGAGGGCTCACCCTCATGGGCTTCAGTAAGTCAGATCCGACTGCATTAAACCTTCCCTTCACCAGCAGTTTGTTTCCAGTTGATTTGACCCTGTTTTTCCTCTGTTAAGGCTTTGCGGAGGTTGGAGGCTGGGATGCTCTGATGAGCAAATACCCCAACGCCATCCCCTCGGTACGCGTGCCAAACTCAACCTGTGGCATCCCTCGAGATGACGCCTTCCACATATTCAGAGACCCGGTGAACTCGGACCTGCCTTGGCCCGGGGTCATCATCGGCATGTCCATCCCCTCCATGTGGTACTGGTGTTCTGACCAGGTACTGTAATAAATATAAACGTTTTAGTGTAGCACTATTCTTAATAATTGAGAGCTGATTAAAGAATGGGGAATTAGTCGTGCAGTGAAAAAGCCTTTTATTTAAACTATCATAATGCTGGCACACCTGACCTCTAAGGGAAGGAGTGTTAGACATGATAGGGCCCAGAGTTGCCAAAATTGCTTTAAAAACATTCAATTTATTTAAGTGTCTCAATGTCTTTTAACTATAAAAGACGAAAGTGTTATTCAGTCCCTTTACATCTTGTTTATGCTGTGTACAAAATTCCTCTGAAGTTTAGCGTGAAAGCGCCTTCATCTGAAAACCTTCATCTGAAAACCTTCATCTGAAAACCCCCATCTTGATGATTTGGAATGTTTTGCTCTTTAGAGAGGTTAAAAATTCCTTATATCCTTATATAATATCAGAGAGATAATCTACCAACCAGACCAAATCTGAGACATCAGAAGACACGTGACATTTTAATGAGCATTTCCTGCCTTTAAGTACAGCACATAAAACCTTTACCCTTGATACCTGCCACGCGCAATAATATCTGCAAGCTATGAGATTACCTTATCTGTCTGATAAAATAGACCTCCATTCAAATCTACATACATACTGCGGTATCTCTTCATCATCAACCATCTATCCCTGTGAGGTAATTTAGGGTAACTTTGATTTATTCGCAGGTTATTGTGCAGCGATCCTTGGCTGCTAAGACCCTCACCCATGCGAAAGGTGGATCACTAATGGCGGCTTACTTAAAGATTCTGCCTTTCTTTGTTATCATGCTGCCGGGCATGATCAGCAGGATACTTTACACAGGTACAGTGTGAAATATATGTTTTAATTCATCAAGCCAGCAACTGGAATAATGTACTTGGTATACGCTTAATGAACAACCTTAAATTACTTCTCTTAAATAGTGATTAATGTTATAAATTGTATTAATATCTCTTCAAAACTGGATAAATGTGTTGCTTTCAGGTTAAGAGTTTTAATGTTTAAATTGAGCGTTGTGTGTTTTAATGAAATAGATGATGTGGCGTGTGCAGACCCTGAGTTGTGTAAAGAGATTTGTGATAACCCAGTGGGATGCTCAGACACCGCCTACGCCAGACTGGTGATGGAGCTGCTGCCTACTGGTGAGACTGCTTTCCTCCCTACACCACCTATACTGTCTTTAACTCGCTTTAAACTATAGTCTCTTTTGCCAGTCACTCTGTTTTTCTCTCCCAGGCCTGCGAGGTCTCATGATGGCAGTAATGATCGCTGCCCTCATGTCCTCTCTGACCTCCGTCTTCAACAGCGCCAGCACCATTTTCACCATGGATCTCTGGAAGACTTTCCGAACCCGTGCATCTGAGTGGGAACTTATGATTGTGGGAAGGTATGTGACCACCTGGGGATAACCAGGCATAACACCAAAAATGACCTGGTTGCAGCTTGGATGCTTTACAATTCAGTAGATAGCCTGCAGTTACATTTGTTATCATGAAAGTTCAACCCTAACCCCTTAAGGCAGAGGTTAAAGGTTTATACATCATGAATAATATGTCATCCCACTAAAACCACATATGTCATTATAATTCATTTCGGATTAAATCAACCACCAAACTGCATATTAGATACTGTCATGTTTAGCCAAAACATAATCTGTCTTTCCTGCTAGATTCCTACTGTAATGACTTTACCAGATGTTCCTTTCCACACACACACACACACACACACACACACACACACACACACACACACACACACACACACACACACACACACACACACACACACACACACACACACACACACACACACACACACACACACACACACACAGTTAGTTCTCCATTACTTACAAGCTGTATTGTGATCAACTGCCATAACATGTCTTTGAACATGTTTTGGCAGTTGATCACAAAATGTATTTGGAATTACAAACAGATGATGTGTTTCATGTGTGTGCTACAGGTTGTTCGTGCTGGTGCTGGTAGTGGTGTCTGTGTTGTGGATTCCTGTCATCCAGGCCAGTCAGGGGGGGCAGCTTTTTATCTACATCCAGTCCATCAGCACCTACCTGCAGCCTCCAGTCTCCATCATCTTCCTCACAGGCTGCTTCTGGAAGAGGACCAATGAGAAGGTGAGGTGCTGCAGCCTCGGGTTGTGTCTGTTCGCAGCTGTGACTGATTATTAGACGGATTAAATATACAAATAATAGTATACTAAGAATCCATTATAAAACCCACCATGTCACTGTTGAACTAGACAATTAAAAGGATTACCAAAACACATTGAGATGGCACAATAACACAATCGGTTTAGCTCTGAAAGCTGCTTACTCAAAGCTTATGTTTTAATGCAGGCATGGTCATATTCATTATACCTAATTCTCTTGATGTGTTACAAAACACCAGCACACCAGTAATTATGTATGTAATGTAGCATTATTAAATGCTAACTGTCACATTGCATTAAGCAAAACCTTATTTGGACAGCCATGTCCTCTCTGTAGGACATATCAAACACAAAAATACTGCAGAAGAGATCATGCATGTTAGAGCATACAGAGACTGTATTCTAATATATAGTCGTGATGTTATTGGATTATGAAAGATTCACTAAAACAACTGTGGCTAATTACTGTGTTATATTCATAGTCTAAATATTAAGGTTATCTTGCCAGCAATTGACACTTCTCTTCCTCTCTCCCTTCATACATCAGGGTGCATTCTGGGGCCTGGTTATTGGCCTGGTGGTGGGCTGCATCCGCATGTTGTTGGACTTAATTTACCCTGCGCCCCAGTGCTACGAGGAGGACAACAGGCCTGCGGTGTTGAAATACGTCCACTACCTGTACTTCTCCATGTTGCTGTCCTTCATCACGCTGTTTGTGGTGGTTGTAATCAGCCTGGCTACAGAGGAGCCCAAACCAGAGCAGGTGGAAAAAACTGAATCACATCTACATTTCAGTTATAAGGCTGTTTCATGTGTATTTCTGTCTTTAATATATTTGTATATTTCTGTTTGGATGTAGAAATAGTCTTGTATTCATTGTAAGCAAGCCAATGTTTTTGTTTGCAACTAAAAATAGTGACTAACATAAATTGCATTTCTCTCCATATGAACATGCTCTACAGCGCCACTAGGGGTCAATAACACCATAGGGAAATTTACGATACTAGTTTGCAGTACACCGATTTAAAACTTTGACCAAATGGATGATCATTTGGGTCCTTTGGAAAAGTATGTCTGCCTATTTTAGCTTTAAATCACACAGACTTAATAGTAAAAACAGCTTAGGGTGCTGGATAAACACAAGAGAGTAATTTGTTTCTCTTACATTTTTGTAACTTTTCCATGTTTCTTTTTAAATAACAGATTACACGCCTGACCTGGTTTACAAGGTTTGACCCAGTGGAGCCCAAAGAGCCCAAAGAGCAGGTGTTCACAGTGGAGGACAGCACTATGACTTCAGAGGTGAACAGCAGTCCGACAAATGGCACGGGAGTCACAGGAAATGAGCAGGAGAACAGCAATGGAAAAGCATGTCATCACAGGAATGGTGGGTTTCCCATTTGTCTATTAATTTAGCTGTAGATCACATCTTCTCCACTATTCAGTGTTTTCTCTCTCTCCCTCCTGAACTTTCCAGACTCTTCATCCTCCGTGTCCAGCGTCCAGAGAACGTCTAAGTTTATGTCCGCCCTCTTCTGGCTGTGTGGGATGGAGAGGAGGAAGCGAGGAGATGATGCTCCTGCGATGCCTCCTCCACTTGAAGAGGCTATCTGTTCTCTGGAGGAAAAGCCACTGCTACGACGCATTGTTAACGTCAACCTGCTTATTTGCCTCTCTGTAACTTTCTTCATCATCGGCTACTGGGCTTGACAGACAGGTTGTGACACTCAATGGACACCTGGTGTTTTGGGTTGTTAAAAGTTGTGTATAGATTTTCTTTTTCAAAGAATGAGAAGAAATTCCACTTTTTTGTTGTCCTTAAACTGACAGTAAACATAAATATGTCCATACAGTGATGCTTTTTCCCTTCTTTAAAATACAAAGGTGCTTGCTTTACATCCCACGCATTTATAGCATGATTTTACTACATTGACGTTAGAAATTAGGTTTTATTGTGCCAACATAATGTCATATATCTTAAGATAAACGCTTTATTTACATTGACTATGTGAATGAATTACAGCCAAAGAAAATCTAACTATTATGGCTGATGCAAGCAAAGTCTTTTTCACGCTTTTCATCCACCTTTGTTTTAAGGAACATTTACAGTTGGACAGAATGAGAAATAACTGATGAGCCCGCAACACTTTAAAATGTTGAACACCTTTAATTATAAAGAGTAATGATGCATTGTAGGATGCATTATGTGCAGAAAAGCAATCATTAAAATGCTCAGAAGTAAAAAAGTATAATCAAAGAGCTGAAAATCACCCCATCAAGGTAAGATTGTCAGCCATGGTGAAAATGATACACAAAAAGATAATTGGCTGTATTTGGTCTTAGCTTTGAGCTTAAGTTGGAGTGATCAGTTACAAGCTATGTATTGAAAACATGTATCACATCAATCTGTTATCAAAAAATCCCTTTTAATGATAAACATATACTCATTGAGCTTTAAACCCATTTTTAAACTTAGTCAATCCGGTCATTTGGAATCGAGTTATATTCAGATAGAAAACAAAAAGTAAAATCCTACCCCACTGGATTATTACAATTACAAAAATGACAGCATATTTGCTGTGGAGAGGATACCATTGCAAGAGAATTTGTTTTTATATATTGCACAAAACATTTGGTCATTAACAACCATAAACAGAGGCTGGGCAGCTCTACATTTTCATTATATTTCCATTGGCCCATATTTATTTCTTTGGTTCTTTACACTGGTATGTTTAATGGAGACCTGAGGTGTGTGACAATTATTAAAAAAGCCTCTGGAGCTTGACAAATTGGAAACTGATAAATAGATCACTGGCAATGACTGGCTCATACTACAATCTCTCCCCACAACTATGCTGAATACAAAAAAAATATTCTTGACTACTGTATGTCGTGCGAGGTTCTCAATTTTTTGTCTGAAAACATTGATAGCATTGTCAACTTTAAGTGGTAAAAAAAGAGTGAAGAGAAAGCTTAGCACCCTTTCAGTTTAGCTGCTACAGTATGCGTTTATATTTATAAGTATAAATTGAGGCTTGATGCTATTGCTCAGCAGTCCAATCTTAGAATACCCAGCAGTTTAAACGAAAGGAGCGCTTGAAATGCAGTGTACTAGCTGAACAGGCGTTTTGTGGTTCTGGTTTGAGCAAAACAAGAAAAGGCAGCTGTTTTTACATGAGTGGAACATGACGAGCTGGGGTAACCAATGAGTTCAGTTACCTTTCTGATATTTTATTCTAAACATTAACATCTTTTACACGGACCAGCTGAGTGAGAGAGCATTTGGATGACAGCGATCCCTCTTTATCTTCACAGAGCTGTGTACTCTGTCTGGAACTGAGGGTCTGGTTGCGGCGCTGGGGTGGGGGCGGGCTCTTGACCAGCAGAGCTCTCCCCTGGTTGGTCCACAATCACCTCAGGGATGAAGGCTCGTCCACTCCCCTTTAGGAAAAAGTTTCCGTCTATACAGGACAGTTAAGGGGACAAATAAATCAGGTTAGAAATGTTTTGAACTTGAGCTGAAGCTATGAACCAAACGTGCAACACGGTTTAACACTGGGGAGTGCACACAACACCTTCTCACACAAAGTAAGACACCAAGGACCGATCTTTATATCAAGTCAATATTGCAATTACAGTGCCAGTCAAGTCATATTTTTAGAGGTAGGGACAGTATCCTTGGTGTGTTAATCATTAAATGCGACATTTTTCACATAGATCCGTTTAAGAAAATACAGATACTGTACAGTAGCAACACCAACAAGTATTACTTTAAAGTCTGTATTAGTATTTTTAAGAGCAAGTTAGTTAAAACAGAAAACTGTTAGCAGGGGATGGCGTGGAAATGTAAAAGCGTGTTAATAATGCTGGACAGCAGGGTGAGTGCATGACAAATGCATACTAATATACATGAAAATATGTATACAGTATTTGCACAGCAACACACACATGCAGTGGACACAGACAAAGCACGTCAGCCAATCAGATCCTTACCATTACCTGCCTTGCAAAGCTCATCTGACCAGCAGCTCAGACATCTGTAATATTTACACATTTCCTGTCATGCATCAGATCACCACAGTTATATTTAGGTGTGAAGCTCTATGACAGTGAAACCAAAAGCCAGAGAGCTAATTACAGCAACGGCCTGAGAGGAAGCTGAAATCACTCATTACTGAAAGTACCAGCAGATCATCAGAAGGTGATTTCAGCCGTTGCAATGCTAATACAGAAGAAGAAATCATAATTAAGAATGTTAAACATCGCTAAATATGTTTACCTGTTGATGAAATATGCATCTAAAATGTGTATAATAGAAACAACTGCAAAAGGTGCTCACTCCCCAACAGTAAACTCCATTACTATTTGGCTGATTAAAATGGAGGAATGTAAACAAGTGTTTACTCAAGTACTGTACTGAAGTATAATTTTGAGGTACTTTAGTCAATATACATTTCTGTTAATTAAGGGATTCAGGAAACAATATTGTACTTTTTACTTCAATTAATTTAACAACTAGTGACTTAAAACATATTATTTAAAATTCCAAACAAGATTAATAATAATGACAAACGCCTTACAGTTTATCAACAGTATATAAAGCAATAGGTAAGCTGCACCTCAAAGTTACAGTAACAACATTAAATGGGTCTTGAACAATAAAGGAATATGATAGAATCCTGTCACATAATGGGTTTATTTACTTTTGATAACTAAAATTGCATTTGCTGCCAACAGGCATTTTGAATACAAAACTTTCCCTCGTTAAAAATAATGGTTTGTCTTACTGCTTTTAGTATAGTAAACAAACTTCTCTGTTCACCCCGGCACTACACAATTAGCCAGATCGAAAAATCCATGTGCCATTTGAAATTGGAAAAACGTCATCATACGCTACACATGTTGGGCACACATACAGTACAACTACCCTTTTTTTTATTTCTTTATAAAAAAAAATCTAAGTTTAAATGTTTTTTTTATGTATTGCTGGCACACAGTTTATTTTATAATCTTGTATAAAAATATTTTAAAACAGAATTTGTAAGGCACAGATTGCTTACCTGTTATGACCTTGGAGGCGGAGCCAAAGATGCCATTCGCGTCATTCACTGCAGGTTGTGGGGGCGGCGGCATGTTGGGTCGGGGGCGTGGCTTGGGTGCCGGCCTGGAGGGGCGAGGGAGGGACCCAGAGTGGTGGAAGGAATGCTGGTTGGAGTGCGGCCCTTCATGATGTGGACTGTCAGGGGGGGTGGGAGTCCTGGGGGGAGAGGGCTCAGACTCCCCCCCCTGGGCTGGAGGAGGCTGGGGGGGCGGGTGGCTCGGGGCGTGGATAGGGCTTTCTTTGACGGTGTGGCGTCTGGGGGTGATGGGTGGATGATGAGTGGAGCTGGATGTCTGTGTGTTGCTGGGCTGGGAGAGGAAGGGGCTGAATTGTTTTGGTGGGGCGGGGGCCTGCTTCTTGGTGCCTTCAGATGAAAACATAATTATTATATGATATTAATTACATTGATGGTAATAAATAATCAGAATTGGAGTGTATTATCTCACCTCTTCGAACCATGTGCGGACTAGGCCCCCTGGATCCACCCTGGGAATGAGGGGTGCCTACTGAGAGATGGACCGAACCATTCCACTGGGGAGGGGGGGTGGACATGAGCTCACGGGCTGGGCTGTGGGAATACAATAAACCCAAATGTTAGTCATTCAACACATATTCTGCAATTTAACAGATTTTAACAAGCAAGTGCTGCAAGCACTCATGCATGCTACACAGAAAACATATTTCACTCAAAAGCTAATTTCATTGGGTAATGGTTATCAGACGGGGAACAATAGACAAACATCATAAACACGATTTTCTGAACAAAATTCAGAAAATCGGTTTGTGAGTGTTACATGCAGAAATCAGACATTGCCTCAAAATACTCAAACACTCAGTCAGACAAGCAGGCAGGCAAAAAGGGAATCTTTAAAACAGACTGGTCGATCATCACAACAAGCAGAAGGGAGGATAAAATGTGCCTGTAATCAAAGCAACACATGATTCTTGTTGCAATACATTCTTAACTTGTTAACAATGAAGCCGAATTTAAAAGAAAATGTTGACATGGTTTTTCTCATTTTCAAATTTGAGTAAAAACTCAAAAGACCAATCAAACACATGACAAACATAAAAGGACGGGGGGTGCTCCGGATTGGCTGATTGGCTGCGAGCAGACGATGGAGTAATGTTGCTACGCTCGCTTCTCCTTACCTGCTTTCCTCTGCGCTGAGCTGGGCTACAACCTGAGGCTGCACTGTAGCTACCTGGAGCCCACCACCAACACCACCACCACTACTAGCACCACTCAGGCGGGGCTGCTCAGCCTCTGCAGCCGAGGACAGGAGCTGGGGCTCAGGCTGGGCAGGACCCCCGGCTTCCAGAGGAGGCAGTGGGGGGTGGAAGGTGGGTGAGGTTAGCTGTGGCTGCTTTCTAATTACAGTGCCGGCTCTACGTGGAGTGGGCTCCGGCTGTTTGTTAACAGTGCTAGGGAGGGGGGAGAGGGGGAGAGGGGAGAGAGTTCAGGAGGGCAAACCACACGCCATCAGACAGAATGAAGGAGCAAAGGAGTGAGACAGAAAAACAGCGAGAGCAGAGACAGACAGAGAGAGATGGTGCGGAAGACAGAAAGAGACGCCACTTCCTGAGTTCAATGAAACCAGTGCAGGAAGAACCCAATAAGGACATGAAACCGCATGACACTGACTTTTTAAATAGAACTTTTAACTGCGACATCTCTGCAGGGACAGAGGAGACAGATGCCGCACCGTACGAACAAAATGCAACAGAGGAAGCCCACACAAACATAAAACCAGCAACCTACAGTGAGTCCTAAGCTTTAATTGGGAAACAAAGGAGATTACACAAAAGTACATAAGAGTAACACACAAGAAGTTAAGCTCTCGACAAAAAGTAATCCCAATAATACTGAAAAATATTCAAAATGGTTTGTGTGAAATTATTTTTCCATCATGTTCAGTAGCAATCTTGAGGAAAACATAACTGATAAGCCTTTGCTGAAATTACCTTAACATAACAAAAATTTGCAAAAATCACAAAAACATTATTTGCTTCTTTTACTCATCAGTAGCTGGATTCATGGGAGCTACATTGGACTGTGGCACAGCTTTGAAGTCTGGACTGGGCAGATCTTCAGTGGGTGTTTCTGTGACTGTGATGGACTCGTTGGCCACTACATAGAGGGCCGACACAACAGGGCCCCGAGACTCCTGCCTGCTCGGTGTCTTGGGACGGGACGGGAGGGTGAGGGGCAGGCTGAGGCTGAGGTGGGGGCGAAGCAGGTACCTGTCTTTACGGGGGGTGTGACTCTCCCCTTCCTGCCCCTGCAGGCTGCCGGGACGTTTCCTATCCAGGGCGGGCTCAGGGTCTGGGGTGGGTGGGTGGGTTGGCAAGGCGAACATGCCCGACACGTTGAAGTCCACCTCTAGAGGGCAGAAGATGGAAAGCAAATAGAGAAGAGATGAGAAAAAACATGATAGCTAAAATGATCTTCTATTTCTTGTAATAATTTGGAATAGTAATGGGATGATCAATAATTACATTTTAGCTTTTTTTGCAATTTAATACAAACGGTTTGGTGATCATCCCACTCCTCCTTATACCTTGTAAACATCAGCTAACGTTAGCATTGTCCTTGTGCGTGTGTTGGCAAACGTTAGCATGCCTATATACACCCTCAAAGAGGCAGTACCACGGTGGTAGACTCAGAACCTCACCTTAGAGAAGTTTCACTTCATTTAGTGATTTCCTAAATGTCCCAAAATGCTATTTACCAACATACTGAAGACAGCAAACACAAAGTAAGAGGACGATAGATTTTCTTTTGTTAGACAACACATTTCTCACTTCTTTTTTGAGAACTAGTAGAAAGAGAATTTTCTTCTGTAGATATATTAACAATATTTAGATAAAACATGAAATTTTTTTGTTTGGGCTGTCAGGCAGGTATTACTATACTACCAGACAACATTCAAGCATTGAAATCTGCCAATTGTTTTGTGTTTTTCAGTTTTCAAGGTAAGACAGAGAGAAGAATATGTCAAATTGTGAATACAAAAGACGGATGTTTTACCTTCAGGGAAGAACCAATCAGCATGCTGAATAATGGGGTCGATGATGGCGACCACGTGGATAGATGTTGCTGCTGCCATCTCTGCCAGCGACCTAAACCACAGACAGACAAGGACAGACGGAAGCTTCATCAACCTCAGCTTCAATTTGTACTCGGACATGAAAATGAGGTAACAGTTCACAGTTCTTACCCTTCCATCTTTGGCCAGAGCAGGTTGGGCCCAAGGACAATGGCGATGTTGCTGGGAGTCATCTTATTAACATCACTGTCCTGAGCCAGTTTAGCCAGAAACTTCACCAGATACCTGAAACAGAGATTTAAATTAATTTAAAAATCTCTAAGCTACTGCACCTGGAATATGGAGCCGCTTAACTTAGTATTTTGTTATTATTAATGTGTTCTATTTAAGGATATCGAAGGAGTCCTTCAATGGTAAAAAGTGTACCAGTATTTTACAAAAAGAAACAGTACAAATGAGAGAACTTAAAACCATTTTGTGTAAAATTGAAAATATGTTCTATTTTATTTTCACATTTGTAACCGTACAAATATATCTCGAGACCCCAGGTTGCGAATCATTATTTCAAGTAATTAAATGACTCATTCAACAAGGTGAAATGTGAAGCATCACTTTTGAAAGTGAAAAACAGAACAGAAATCACCTCCGTACTTTCAGTCATGCTGTTGTTGCAAGATACTCTTACCTGAGGTTTGCCTTGTGAGTCTTTGGCAAATGGTCACATGCCACCCACAGAGCCTGAAGTCTCTTGTCTGGGTCAGACACACTTAAACACATAAGAAATATATTTGTTACACAAGTAGGCCTACCAGAATATCTCAAGCAAGCTGTAAGCAAACACTGATTCATGTGTGTATTCAACACCTATCAGCAAAGGGTGTGTTTGTTTACAGGATATTAAAAGAGCCATATCTATGGGTCTTCTTACTTTGAGGCCTGTGTCCACTCATCGTACAGGCCAAAAGTCATTAGAGGTTCAGGAAGTTCCCTGAGGTAGGACTTCAGGGCTCCTGTGTAATAAGAGAAGAGTTATGAGAAAATAATATGGGCCAGATGGTTTGACTTTTTGTGGATTTGTATAAGAGGTTGTACCGGCGACAGCGTGGGGATCGGAGTAGAACTCCTCGAGCTGCGAGGTGGAGCAGTCCAGCGCCGCTTTTAGCTTCTTCAGTTTTGACGCCCCGGCAGCTATTCTAAAGAGACCCTGCAAGGAAAATGTAGAGACAATTACTGACTACAAGTGACTGAAGAAGAAGAAGAAGAATTGGGAGGGATGAAACCCTCTTTAATGGTCACACATGCAGAGCACACAGCACACACAGTGACATTTGGCCTCTGCATTTAACCCATCCTAGTACCTAGGAGCAGTGGGCAGCTATTGTACAGCGCCCGGGGAGCAATGGGAGCGATGGGGGAAGGGGGGTGTCCGGTGCCTTGCTCAAGGGCACCACGGCAGACTTGAACCGGCGACCCTACAGCTCCCAGTCCAATCCCCTACTGACTGAGCCACTGCCGTATATGTCTCTGCATTTGACCCATCCTAGTGTTAGGAGCAGTGGGCTGCCATTATGTACGGCGCCCGGGGAGCAGTGTAGGGAACGGTGCCTTGCTCGGGGACACCTCGGTAGCACTTGGTCTTTCCGGGACTTGAACTGGTGACCTTCCAGTTGCCAAGTCAAGTCCCTATGGACTTTGCCACCACCGACTGGTTACAATCCTAAAATGTAAGAAGTGAGTCTAGGTTCGTTCAGGAAAGGAGAAGTAAGGCAAACCACGTGTCATTCCACTACATGACTGAGAGTCTAGTTGAATTGTTTAGGGTAGCAATAGAGATGCGGCTCTTTCGGGATGAGTAGTTAGAAATATAGCAAGAGTTTTGTTTCTGTTAATAGCAACGTCCTCCTTAGGGAGTCTAGTTTATGGTTACATTTGATGAGTGAACATTTTAATGCACAACATATGCCTGCACACACAAATAGACAGTGCGTATTCCCACAGCCTCAAGGCTAACTTAACTGACCACAAGTTGGCCACAGATATTTCCAGACAGTACGCGCCATCACTTCTGAAGAGCATCTCCTTCCAGCTCCAACTGAGTGGAGAGATTAAGGTCTATGTGGAGATATTTATGTTCCAATTCTTTTTAAATGTACCTTAAACTTTGCCCTATTTTTCTCCTAAGCTTTTGCCATCACTCTATCCATACCTCCTCCTTCATGCCGGTCTCCAGAAGCATCATGACGCAGGCCTCGAGGGGCAGAGCGATCTCACGGCTGCTCCTCTTCAGGTGCTCCTCCAGCAGCGTGCCGAACGCCGGCTTTTCCATCCAGGAATCTAGGCAAGAGGTCAGTGCCTTTTAACTTATCTGAGTGTTGGACAGCATTTCTGTTCTGTGTCTGTCAACAGTTCTACTTTCTCTTAATGATCTCTCCTTTAATCTCTCTGCGTTGCTGTCTCATACATACTTCCCCTGTCTGAAGTCTTTATCATGCATATGCATTTCGGAGAAAACGAGCCTGGGAAATGAAGTTTCTTCTATAGACATTTACAGAATTTCTCATTTACACACATGTTTTTCCTCCTCTTTAGCTGGCTGTGTTTTGAATAATTATATTTGCACTGTCAACCAAGACAGTTGCAACAAGCCATGACAAGCCAGTCTACATTTCTCAACAGCACAAAGCAACTTGTTTATTGTTCAAAATTAAGGACTACAGCTGCCAGCTCTAAAACCATATGAGGGTTTAATGAATAATGCATGCAAAGCTTATGTGTTTTTCTATTGTTTGCAAATGTAGTAAATGTCTGTTTTTCTGTTCACCTTGCTGTATTTGGATAGTCGGTATCGCTGCCTCCAGAGCTGCCAGAGACCTCCTGTGGTAATCTGCCTGGGCCTCTAATAACTGTTATGTATACAAAAACACAATCACAGGTCAAATAAACAAACCATTGGCATAATATAGTGAAGCAGGCATTCAACAAAGCATACAGTTATAGTGGAATGGACCATATTTGCATCATATTTCCATTTCCGTTCTAGGTCATTTAAACTAAACTGAGGCACACCCACCATGACATAATAGCGTGCGTAATCGCCCTCTTTGGAGGCGAAGTTGTACAAGTCTGCAGAGAGCTGGTCCTGTAGGATGACAAAAAGACATGTATTTCCATACATGGCAAACTTCATGGCAACCTAAAACCTTCTGCTTTACTTTGGACAGTAACTTTTCATTAAAGGTCCCATGACATGGCCATTTCTACTGATCATAATTCCATTGTTGAGGTCTACTAGAATAGATTTACATTGTGCAATTTTCCAAACTCACATTGGTTTCTCATACAGCATCTCTGTATAGTATGTGTATTCACTGAATTTCACTCTCTGTCCTAAACGCCTTGTTGGAGCTCCTGCCCCCCCCCTCCCTGTGAGCCCAGTGTGCTCTGATTGGTCAGCTCGCCCACTGACTCGCTGCTGCGAGGAGCTAACGGTGTGAGCTGGCGTACTGGTGTGGTTTCCTGCTTGCTGCGAGACAGCGAGACATCGCGAATGGACGCGGGAAGGGGGGGGGGTGCTGAGGGAGCTGCAGCAGCCCCATCTGCGAGGCTCCACCAGCACCCGCATCCCCCCCCCCACACGCGGCGCACCTACAGTGTAAGCGCGCTACAGTTTTGCCGCGCTGCAAGGCTCCACTAGCACCCCCCAGCGCGTCACATTTTTGCCGCTAAAAGAGTGTGTGTGTGTGTGTGTGAGGAGCTCCACGGATTGGTCCATTTGGACCAATGGGTCCATTTGGGTATGGGCACGTCACTGTACCCAGGAAGAAAACAATGGAAAAAGAGAAATCTCCAACGAGGCGTTCTGGGGCAGCATAGACAGGTCTTTTCTGTGTTAGAGTTTTATTCGCTACAGGGTGTACTTTGAGGGTTTGTGACTTTGCAGACCGATTACATGCATAAAAACCTTCATAACACACAAGGGGACGGGTAATAACCGGAAAAGCATGACATGGGATCTTTAAGACACAGATCAACTCCAGATGACAAAGCAATGACCTTTAATTACACGGTCTTAATATTGAGCATAGTGTGTTTGTTCCTATTACAAGGCTGCCTTTGTTTGCCAGTTCATAAGATATGTTCCGAACCTGATGAAGAGGCCCTGACTGGAATGTAAAACTATTAGATTAAATGTGCCTCTATTAAATACTTTACATGATGCATAACGAAACCTCAGTCTTTGGTAAAGCAGGTTGTGAAACAACAGCACAAATCCTATTTTGAGTCATAAATAAAACATGGTGCATTATGAAAAGAGAAAAGTTACCTTGCATATTTCTACTTTGTTGAGAGCCTCGTCCATCTCGTCTTTGAGAGAATCGGCTTTAGCTGCCATAGCCAGGTTGTTAGACTTTGTTGCCTGGTACCACCTGGAGCAATAGTAATTATTTAGGCATTGAAGTGCATCAGATAATCACAAAACAAATATATTATACAGCAGTCACTTAAAATGTTTGTTATCCTAAATATGCAAAAGTGTGCAATTCAAGAAAACATGTTAAAGTGATGTTGCTAAATTAGTTTTAGTTTTTCAACCTCTATGTTAAGACTACAGGCCAGTGTACCTCGTCTTGGCAGAGTCATAATCCAGAACCAGCTTGGCAAGTTGTTTCCTCTGTTTTAGTATATTTGGAATCTCGACCTGTGGGAAAAGCAGAGGGGATTATGAGAACAGCATGACCACAATGCACTTGAGTCAAAATTGAGGATAACACCTTTCCTGTGAGAACATTTTGTCAATATGAATCACTGAGAACGGCAATATAACACAAAAAGATGCCAAAGGCCATGTTGAATTTGGCACATTCATGAGACACACGCACTGTGTACGAATCCGCTACAGGCTTACTGAGTGTTTCCATCAATAGTAAGTTGGCTTATATGCTAACCAAATGCTAACCCCTTGTGCCTCACTAGGGCCTTTTTAGGCTTTTATTTATAAATTATTTTGACTGGGTTATGCATTCGGCATACATTTTGTCAAGGGTATGAGTCATTGTTGTTATTTAGAATAATTATTTAATAAACTACATAAAGTACACAGGCACTCTGACACCTTAGAATACAAATGGCCCCATAAACAACCCAATAAAACCACAGTGTTTGATCCCACAGCCATTACATCATAAAAATGCAAGCTGTTTTTCAAAGTATTAAAACAGCGGCATTTTGTCAACAAACTGGCATTTTAAAAGGCTAAAATTATGGAAATTATTGAATATTTGGAAGGGATTATCACTACTGAAGTTTGATAAAAAATATAGTTCAGTGAAATTGACAGTGGAAAATGATGCATTAATAAATGGATCACTATAGTATGCAGAGAGGTTCAGTATTTTTCACCGTATTTTTACCTCAGCCAGCTGGTTGAGAGGATCCAGGATGTCTCTCTCGATCTGAACTTCATGCTGCATCAGCTCAGTCGCTAACCTGCTCTCAGCCTCTCCACACACATCCATCATCTTGCTGCTCACACACAGGAATGTACACAAATATTGCTGTTATCAATACTACCCAGTAAAACAATTTACATACTCAAGAAGCCCCTTGTGAGGTATTCACATTCCTTTTACTTAAAGATCACTTTTAATGTTGATTTTTGGTCATTTAATCAATGGAGTTTATTTTTGGGATAGACAAGCATCTCACCCAATCAGACCGTCGTCTCCAAGCTGACTGCCTCCCTCCTGCATGGCCTGGGACAGCGTTGTCAGGGGCAACTTTTTCTGCAGACAGACCAGCAAACAAAGTTAATTTACTTTAAAAAGTAAGTGGTGAGTAAGTGTGGTGATCAAATATTCAAAGTGTTCAGAAAATCTAAGATAAAGTTACAATACAACACTGATTTGTTAGGTTGTGTTTTGTTGTATATGGGTGGTTGATGTAGGTCTGCTGTTCAGTGATAGTGAAGCGGGCAGGAGGCCAGCGCTGAATATTTGTCTCCTGAGTGCCTCTCATATCAATGTGTTACATAAGAGGAGATGGTATGTGTTCATAACACATGATAGCCAGTCTTTGCTAATACTTAATAATGGAGTCACAGTGATTCACCTTTATTCAATTTCAAAGTTGTGAGTTTGTCCTCAAAGTAAAGCTGCAGTTTAGAGAAACTTACATGTCTCTTCTCTGTGTCCGTGCCCAGCTGACCCTGCAGACATGACACCAGCCTCTTGTGTGTGTTGTGCGACACCAAGCGCACCAGTTCCAACCGCCTTTCGATCTGTTAGTACACAAAATGTTAAAAAAAAAAACAGGAAATAAAAGACAATCCTACTTTGTGACTTTCCTAAAGCAACCCGTGTGAAAGCTACAAATCAAAACATTATCAGTTGTACCAGCGCACATCCATGACCAAACTTTCCATCCCGCTCTTGTTGTTGAAAGATGATGGAGGATGTCGGTGCTGTTTGTACAGCTCTGTTCTGCAGCGTGCTGTTACAACAGGCCGCACTGACAGCCAGATGGAAGGAATCATGGCAGATAAGTAACAGACTGACAGATTGTGTTCTTAACTGCGAACAGGGAACGTTTTCTTTGTCTTGACATATGAGGACTCCATGTGAAGATATTATCAGGGTTAACAGATTAATCATTCTGTCGGCAGGCCTGAGGGGACCTGATCTACTGGTTGTACTTTATGATCCGTAAAGTACCATATGGTGGTTACGCATGTTAAAGCCACTTATCTACAAATCATGAATGCTTTACCTGACCACAGCCCTTTTTCTGGAATGTGATTTACATGTTGAGATTGATTGTCTACCTTACAGGCAGCCAGCAGTTTATTTCACTTATCCGTCCTCTTAAATACTTAAAAAAAAACATTTATTATGTATGGGACTGTTTCGGCCAATCCAGCAATGTAAAACACCTCTATTTAAGTGAATTTATACCATTGTAAAAGATATAAAGATCCAATATTGCCCTGTTAATTGATTAGCAACATTGCCCACAATGGCCAAAAACTAACATATGTTACTGCTGTAGAGCACTGTATCAAAGTGTCCTGAAATCAAAAGGTATTTAAGTTACAAATCAATCCCATAACATCAAAAACCTTGACATTGTTTTGAATTTTTGTAGCACAAAGAAGGCTTCGTTTTGGCATCAAAATGATATCAGAGCGTCCTTGAATCCACCACATGTGAGAGCGCGTAGTTTTATGACCATGTGACAATGACTCGGAAGTCTCAGTCAAGGTTACAGTCTCTGCTGTTTTATGTTTTCATACATTACTGAAATGAACTGAAGCCAGCGAGTTAATTGTGAAAATGGTCAAATAACTATGGTGTCCTTTGGAAAATGGTCATTGGTAATGTTAAGTATACAACTACTTTATAAAACCTGCTAAAGCACGCAATATACCAGTATGATCTAAAGCCAATTAACTCTGTAAGCGTTGCATGTTACAAATGTTATCACTTCCTCTTCCTGTTTCAGTATAAACATCCAGCCGTCTCACATCTAAAAGCCCCTCCTTTGCTCTGATCCTCATCTTGGTCTCAGTCTTCTTCCTTTCCTTTTATCCTCTCTAATTCTCTGTTCACTTCACAGCATGCCAGGCTCTCTCTCTCTCACACACACTTTCCCCCCTCTCCTCCCTTTTCTCTCTCCTCCCTCTTTCCTGCAGCTGTTGCTCAATGCCAGACCACAGCTGGATTTTGCTTCTTTGCCTGGATCCAATTGACTCGCTCACAATTCAGTTGATCCCGAGCTCTGATTAATGTATGGAAGTCTAGCTCTTTCTGGCAACGGCTAAATTATTCCAGTCCTCGAAAACACTTGTGCCAAAAAGGAAAGGAAAAGGCCCGACAGACTTCAGTGCAGGCACAGACTGGATACAATGGGTTATTGCATAGTCTCTGCTGAGTTTTCCATGAGTATACTACAAAATACCTTAGAAAAACAACATGATATCACGTTTTAAAATTGGAGTCCGTTTTGCACCACTTACATTTGAAATGTCTCAAAGTTGAACCATCTTTCTCCATGTTGCTTTTTTGAACCCATTAAGTAATGATACACTAATGAAAAAAACATCATGACTCATTACCAATTAAACATCCTCACATCTCAAGTGGCGAGCCTTAGGCCTCAGGGAGAAACTGAACTATGGAAACAAACTTTTACACACAGAAACACTCTAAACTAAAGTCGGAGTCGAGGACAGGAAAAGAAAGCAGGAAATCTCCCTGATCATAGGCACAGATGAGCACACATGATCCCTTCGCCTGCTTCTTAAGTTATGGAGCTGTCCAAAGGTTTACAGGACAGTAACTGCCATCTTTTATTTTTCCAGACAGCAATGAAAAATGTGAACAAAGCGAGCTAAAGACCTCTGACCTGCCACAGCAACAAAAAAAAGTGGAACGTTTAGTGAGTCATGAGGAACTGGGAGGTCGGATAACATTTTGTTTTCTTGCTTGGAGCTACTTTGGCAGAGTGGTTAGCTCGGTGACTGAGGATCTAGCTGGCTGACCTTGTTGGCAGGATGGCTAACTGTATGGCTAGATGATTGTAGAGCAGAAACAGGATATTCGAACAAAAGAGAATAGTTTGACATTTTGGGAAATACACTTACTTTCTCATTAATCTAGAGTTAGATGAAAACATTTGTATCCCTCTCATGGCAGTAAATATGAAGCTAAAGCCAACGGCAGGTTAGCTTAGCTTGGAAACAGCAAGCCTAGCCCTGTTTGAAGGTGAAAAAATCTGCATCTCAGGGCCTCAAGCGCCTTAGCATCATGGCATCTTGTTTTTTTTCTCATAGTCCAGCACATCACCCTCTTTAAAACCACAACGTTACAATTCTACATCTTGTTTTTTGTGCTGATTAAACAAAACAGATATAACATAATCATTAGCTAGCAGTTTCCCCCTGTCTTTGTGCGAACCTAAGCTAACCAATTCCTGTTCCTGTAACATATTTAGCATAAAGACATGAGTGGTATTGATTTGTTCATCGTACTTGACGTAAGACTAAGCATATTTCCCAAAATGACTAATTCTTCCATCGATCGATCCAGTGTTCTTACAGATAACAAAAATGAACTGTGTATTTGTAGGCTAAGCTCACTTGTCGGTAAACTGCTTTACATACAGTATCAGATATGAAAATGCTCCAGTAAGCACAACAGAACATTGTGCTTCCTAAGTTGTAAGTAATTTAATACTGATCAATGGGACCATTTCCAGCCTGAATCTCTACTGTATGAGAATCTCCTTAGCTCCCACTGAGGCAAGACGTGTCCAGGCAAGACAAATGCCTTAGCCAATGCAGAAGACTATGGAAAAAGCAGGAAAAAGACTACTACCACTCCATGGAAATCAGTGTCAAATTTCAAGTTGGACGGTACAGAGAAAGGGGTGTGGGAGCATGTTGGGGAGGGGGGGGAAGGAAAAACTATTATTTTCCCTGCTTAGGTTTGGAGAGATGAAAAACTTTCCCTGCTAGTGGGATTGATTTTAAATGTCAATAATGATTTGTCAGTCCACGAAACAGTAAGCTACACTTTTTGACAACATGTCTGTAATCAGGTTGCAGATTCTGACTTGAAGCTTGAGCTGTTAGGCCCAAAAGACATCCAAGCCACTTCCACTATGCCGACCGCTTGACAGTCACATTCCTCACTGAGAGCTGCAGCTAAAGGAATGTCTAACGCAGCACAAAGCTCCTGTCGCTCATGACGAGGACCAAAGACGAGAGAACGCATTCTCTGAAAGGGCTGGGTCGGTCTGTGCGGTGCTCTTTTGGGACAATCGTGTAAACATACATCACTTAATTGAACTATACTGCTGTTAAAGCTGTCTGTCGTGATTACAGCAAAACAATGAGCTTCTTTAGCTTATTCAATAAACAAAGTAATGCAACCAAGTGTTTGAGCTGAGTGTTGCTGTGTGTGTAAACCACACAGGGTTCATAGTTCACTTCTACACGTCATAAAACTTCCATGACTTCACCTTCACAAAAGCTTCTTTCTACATTCAACAACCTCTGTTTTTCAGTCTCTCCTGTTTTTCTTCACACACTTTTCCTAGCAGTGATCTCACAGTTTCACTAGTAAGAATCCTCCCAGCCCCCAACACACACACACACACACACACACACACACACACACACACACACACACACACACACACACACACACACACACACACACACACACACACACACACACACACACACACACACACACACACACACACACACACACACACACACACACACACACACACACACACACACACACACACACACACACACACACACACACACACACACACACACTACACACACACACACACACACACACACACACACACACACACACACACACACACACACACACCACACACACACACACACACACACACACACACACACACACACACACACACACACACACACACACACACACACACACACACACACACACACACACACACACACACACACACACACACACACACACACACACACACACACACACACACACACACACACACACACACCACACACACACACACACACACACACACACACACACACACACACAGAACGTACATCCACTATGATTTCAAGATAACAGAACATTGCCAGGGTTCGCCTTGAGCGGAAAACCATGAGGCACTTTTGCTTCAGTGGCCCTGAGCTGGTGAGGCGTTCCTGAATGTTTTATGCCGGCAGTTGTACTCCAAGACTGCAGAGAAACCTGGCCTGAACATGCTGCAGGAATGATGACTTTAGCAGAGCCTGTGAGTAGAACTAGTACGTCCTTTAATTACCCATATATTTTACTGATTCTAAAAACACGAGATACACTTGAATGGTAAATGTTGCTTTTCAGTTGTATTTTACAATGTGAGACAACTGTTTTGTTCCTAGAATACAGTCAACACTTTAACATGAGATACAGTTTGTGTCTAAAGAGCCCCCTGAGAGTTGATTTTAATGAGAAGAAAGATGTCATATTTACATGTAGGAGGTCATCACTCAGCACCTCAGTTTTCTCAGCCCTGTTGAGGGAAACACAAACAAGAAGGCAAAGGTCAAACACTGACAACAAATAGAGAAATATAACACAGGCATTGAAAAACACACCCTCGACATACAGAGATAAGACAGAAAACCATGAACCCCCAAACAATGTAATGCAATCCCAGAAGAGACACATCTGTCTTTGGTAATGAATTTGAACTAAATGCTCAAAGAATATATAAACCGGTATTTAAAAATGTCTCACACTTCCCACTTTCTTTTAAATAGACCACGAGAACTGTATTTTAATTTAGCAAGACATTACTTGCTCTTCAAACTCAGAGATCAACAGATGGCATAGACACCATCAAACTAAAGCAGAAGACTATTTCTGGCCCACCCTGTCTGCAGTTAGTGCCTGCAGCAAATTATTTTAAAAAGAAAAGCTCATAATGTGATTAAATCAACAAGATAATGTTGTCACACGTTAGACCTGCCTATGTGAAATACTGGGTATCATTTATGCACACATACTCAACATGTTTTCACAAATGCAGAAGCCCATCAGCGCTTGTGCCTGTGGCTGTTTTCCATGAGAGACCTGACTGATTCCTCTACCCTGTCCGAACACACACTTCCTCTTGTGTCATTGGTACCTTGTTTATTATGGCAACAGGAGAAGGTGTGCGTGTAGTTGTGTGGAGAAGGGTTGCCAAGTGGCATGTTGAGGTTTGAAACACACTGCAAATTGTAGCAGAGTCTGCAGAAAACAGGATAGTGACATCACTCTGTAATGTTGATCAAACGCTAAAAAAAGAACCTCTGAAATAAGATACGCATTTGCTTCTTTATGTGACTTCAAACTTTTAAAACATATTTTACGTTTTTCATATTCTTGCTGAGCTAGTGAGACCAGCAAACAAGCATATCGTTCATCCTGTCGATATCCTACAAATGCATTGACCTCCGATGTATAACCTCTACACACACACACACACATCCCTGAAGACTTCTCCCCTTCCTCTACCAGAGCAGGCCCACAGTATAGATTTAAATCTCACAGGGATCAATTAACCCTCTCCCAGACAGGAGCTATTACCTAATACTGCTATAAATGAAACCCTACGTATTCAGGCTTACCTCACTATGACTTAAACAGAATTGGAAAACGCCTTTGGCTGCAGAAAGGAGCTTGTACCATAACTACAAATCTTCTTTTCGACTGGTCAGAGACTCTCATACATATTTTCCATTACTGTATGTATGATCAATGATTTGCTTTTTTTGGCACACAGTATAAGTTCTTGTATTCATACTGAGGATACACTTTTGGTGCACAAAGTGTAAAAGTGCCCGTTTTCCTTGGTCCTCTATGATAGTAAATAGAAATGATTTGGGGTTTTTGACTGTTGTTTATACAATGCAAGACATTTAAAGACGTCACATTTGGTTCTAAGATATTTTGATGGGTATTTTCTCCTTTTGCTGACATAATCTGGATCAAATGATTAAAAAGAACATCTATGGATTTATTGATAATGGAAAAAGTAGTGTTTGCATCAAATACCTGGTAAAATTCCTAATCCTCCATACAGTTTTATTTGATCAGAAACGTTACAAATTCACATATTGTTACGTCAACAGTTCATATGTACTACATGCTATATGTGATTGAATGATATAGGACCTGCAGCAGTGAACCTACACTTATCCACACGATCACATTACACATGCTTTACTGGATTTCTACAGCAATCTTTAGATTCCTATCAATATTGAATCAGCATTGGAGTGCAGTTTAGCTCTAGCTGGCAGCTATTGTTCTAAGAATAGACTCCCACAATGCTGTAGCCCAGACCTTAAAAGAAAACTTGGAGCAAAAAACACAAAAAGGCATAAAGAGTAGAAATGGTAACTGTGTGATCATTAACTTTATAGAACTTTAAATTACTGATGAGAAATCTAATCAAACAGAAAGAATAAAAATAGTAAAAACGTGTCTGTGTTCAAGTATTATGAGTTTTGTTGAAAGTGTTCTGTGTGAGCTTATCTCGCCAAAGTCTCCAGAGGTATGCAGGAATTCACAAACCCTGCAAGCTTGAACCACAGCGCAACAACTACATGTAAATCAAACTGCTTCCTCTTTTATAAAAACACCCCTCTGTGGCTGTGTGACGTCCTCAGCCCTCTGCTGTGTCCCCATCAACAAGCGTGGAAATGCTTACTCCACAAAAACACTCAGTGCCAGGCCCTTCCTGTGCAAAACACACAACCATGTTATCACATATTGTCACGGGGTCCACAAATTCACTGTTTTTTTTTTTTATTAAAAGTGGAATAATCCTAGTGCTTTTGTGGCAATCAATCTAAAAGTCTGTTATTGCTTGTATGTGTTGGATGGTATTCTGTATCTGTTTGCCCTAACAGATAGAAAACTGTGTATTAAGGGAAGGGTTGTTGTTGAGAATAGACACCACTGAAGCCCGATGGATTTATAATGATGTGAGTTTATAATTTTCTTTATTTTAGTCATGTACAGCAACAACAACGTGTCTATTAATTGAGTAGGCGATCAACAGAAAAACATATCGGCAATCATTTTCATAACGGATAAATCAATTGGTCTTTAAGTAAATATTTGAGTGTTTGATGTTTCTATCCCAGAGCCCTAATCACAAATAAAAAGTGTCTCCTAAGTCTTAACAAAAGTCCTAAATCTAATGAACTGATTATATTTGGGTTTGGGACAATTTTGTCAGACAAAATAAGATGCTTGAAAATGTCATTCTAGGATCTGGTAAGTTGTGATTGGCATTTTGTCGTCTATTTGAACTAAGAAAAACACATGTTTAGACATTAGACACACTGATTTGACCTAGCAGTTACTTGTACTGATCACTGACCTCATAGTTTGACCCGCCTTTAACAACGCTGCTAATCTCAACCATTTATTCGTATAACACTATAACTTACTTGAGTCATGCAGAGCTTCAAATGGCACTCAGTGGGTGTGTGTGTGTTTCTGCCTCTCAGTAACCGGTCTGTTATTCTGCTGACTTGAGTTTATGGCTCTTACACAACATATGGAGGAATGCATGTGAGGAATCCTAGGCCAATGGCTACAGGACTATTGGTTAGAAGGTCATTTTGAAGGCATCATCTGTAGTTACCATTAATGCAGTAATAAGAAGAGACTATGGTCTCTCAGTGGTGGCTGCTGATAGAGAACAGGGTGGGAAACCCCTGTGGGGACGAAGATGAAGGGGGAGAGGAGGAGATGGTATAGATATGTGTGTGGGTGTGTGTGTCAATTAACAACCAGTGTCACCACACTTCAGGAAGTATGTGTTTTTGTGCACACCCTTGCCTACAGAAATAACAGTAACTGAAGATGGTAGTATGATATAATCTACTGAAGTCAAAAGATGACAAGGACCCACAGTCTGTCTGTTTTCTGACACAGATAGATAGGAATACATTTTAAATAGTGACAATAATATATCTTAATAGGACTCAAACAATTGATCAACTGAAGAAAAATGAAAAGGGAACTGTTTAGATAATCAATTATTGGTTTTAATTATTCTAGCGAGCACAAAATTGCCAAAAATACCCTTTAATATACCATCTTAACTGAGAGCATTTTATTTTCTTAGCTGTATTTTATTATAGTATTAACACATAATATGAAAGTATGTTATTTTAAAATGGTCACCACATGGATAGAATGAGAATATAAAGCCTTTAATATGCTACTTTATTGAACAAAATCTGGATAACAATCCACATTTTGAAGAGTCTTGTATTGTTCATGGTATTGTTTTATAAATCAAAGTTCATGTGACCTGACATTACTCACCTGCTGCAAACGAATGCTGTATTCTCCTAAAACTCAACAACCTACCCAGGTATTTATTACGCAAAAACGTAGACCAGCCCTTCCGACACCAAGGGAGACGTATGAAGAACAACACTGAATGTTGAACAACCTTAAGAAGCAACAGAGTTTGCCTGCCAGAATAAACATGTATGACATCAAGTTGCAAACAACCCTTGTTGTTGAAACAATCTCTCACCTTCCCACAGTCTGGTTGGCGAGTTGCTTCATGCGATTAAACTGTTTCTTCATGTTTCTCCTCCTCTGTGTCTCCTGCTCGTGTAAAAGTCACTGCTGTCGATCATCTAGCGCTGATCCAAAAGTTGCGCTACGTCGCAGCCATTGTGGCAGAAAGGGCTGCGCTCGGATCACTAACGCACCACAGCTGGATGCCTTTTCCTGATTAAACTCGGTGTCATTGGCCGTAGAAAGAAACGCCGAAAAGTCAGTTGAAACAGTCACTTCAAAGCTGCTAGATCCACATTGCCACGATTATCCGGCTTCCTTTTAAGCTGACTGGTTTGTCTGCAACCAGTGCGGTAGGAAGGAAGGAGGAAGTGCCTTTACTTCCCTACTGTAAGCTGCACAGCCCCATGGTGACATGTGATACCTTTACAAGAAAAGGGAAAAAAAGCCTTGACTCAGCTATTGGTCTCTCATGGTCGTGACAAAGTCATTTTCGTTTTAGTTGGCTATAGAAAGTGGTTTTCTATAGAAAATCGTATCATAGCTGGATATTTAAAATAAACTGCTGAATTTATTGGGTGAAATTGGAGAAACTTGAATTACACAGACTAAACTTTACCAACAAAGATAAGTTGCAAAAACGGACCAAAGGCTTTTAATGGCATTTATAGCACTGATCCAGGGTCAGTCTTCGTCAAGGTAAGCAGTTTAATGTGTTTCTCTCATAGGCTTTGCTTATAGACACATGATACGCACTCCGCTGCCCCCCTGTGGCTCTTGCTCTGTAATGACAGGCTCTATCTGGAAATATAATTGATATAATATCATTGGAGAATAATTCAACTGGTTATTATTATCAGAATAAAACACGTTCAATATATATCCCTAGTAGTATCTAAACATACAGATAATATTGGTTTTATCATATCCACCTCCTATTTTTGCACCAACCCAAATTCAATAGCGATTATATGGATTTTTTTCTCAAGTCAGTTTCCCTGCATTAAAAGTAATAGTGAATACCATTTATGGACCTTTGAGTTGAGTTTGGTTGAGTTTATGATATTCTAGCCAATAATAGCTCAAATGCTTGTTATTAAGACATAGGGCAAACCTTTGTCTTATCTGCCATAAAGAGGGTATATAACAAGGGTCAACATTGTAAAGGCGTTCCTGTCTGCGCAGCATAATGCCGTGGGACCTATGAACTGTTTGTCATGAGACTAATAGTGATAGCCATATGATCCCAATAAATGGAGGTAAATGTGAGAAAAGAGGAACATTTTGAAACTTGGTCAAGGAACTTTAACCCTGGCCTGTTGATGTTAAAGAACAACTATTGGCACCGTTTAACATCTGTCAAGTAATGTGAGGCTTGATTTGTTCCTGTTTAAATTGGTATCTAATCATTGTTTAGCTATTACATTTCTCTTTCACATTTTACTTAGTAGGGCTGCTTTGAAAGTCTTGCTACTGATAGCAGATAATGATTGTAAAAGGGTTTGCACTCTTGTATCCATGCTTTTCAAATGATAGAATGAGATGTGCCACTCCAAAAAAGGTTGAAATTCAATTGTAATGTGCTTCTCGTTAAGAGGCTCTTTCAAATGATTTTTGCACAGGAGATGCTGATCTTCTGATGATGGTGCATCGACCAAAACATGCACGTCTTTTTAAGCAGTGTGTGACATGTGTTCATAGGTAACATTTACTTTTTTGGTCCTCAAGAAGGACACATAGCAAAACATTTTTTTATACAAAAAGGCCTAAAACATAGACAAGCACACTCAGAATAGATTTCTTGTATTGAGAGGAGTTTACTTATTCAAAGCATGTGTGGCTGTTGGGAAACAATGTTTGCTCTAACAGGACATGGGACGTCTATACCTGCGTCCAGAGGGAAGTTGGCTCAAGTGCTTTATCTTGGCTGTGTGAGATTGTGAGGGCTTTGCGGGTCAGGTGTATGACAATCATTTGCATCTTAAGAGCCTTGTTTACTTTATCTGTTGGTGCGCAGGAAACTTTTCTGAGATAAACAAAGGTTTCTATTCCCAAGCTTCTGTAGGTTTATAGTATATAAACCCAAAGGATCTTGAGGAGTGGTGGATCTCAACCCATGTGCAGACATATTTCCATAAGCAAACCTTCAAATATTTGTATAGGCCTCCATCCTTTACATTAAAACAATATTTAGTATAAAAACAGCAAATAGTTGAAAATGACTTTTCACTCATGTGTTTTCTGCCACTGATCTGTTAGGCCATGTGTGCTGTGTTAGCAGTCTGTGTGCAAACTCTGCACCATCTTCTCCATTCTTTCATTTAATCTGTGATCTCTTTATGGGAAATGATTCATTAGTAAGTGGAATCTTTTGGAGCCTGACATTATACAGTTTAACTTAAGAAGTGACTTTAAGAAATCTTTATTCAAATATAAATAATGAGTCACAGACTTTACTCTTGGGTAAACATTTATCAAGTTATCTGGCTTGCAGTTTTATCTGTTTTTGTCTAAAGCCCTAATGTATCTGGAAAAAGAACCAGTAAATTGTGCTTAATCTATAACAAGATGTTTTCTGCATGGTTTGCCATGGACACTACTAATGTGTTCGGCTTTGACCCTGCCATAAAAAAGTAGCATCTGAAAACATGTTTTTTTTGCATGTGCACTAGTTATGGGAGGGCGTGAGATGACCAGACGATGCTGGATTAATACGGAAAAAAGAGTTGTTGAGTTCATGTCTGGTCAGTGGAGCTATTCTAACTAGACATTAACCTCACGCACCAAAGTCCATGTGATTAGCAAGCAAAGCGATATTAGTAATCTCACCTCAGGTCAGTACGCTCAGTGTAACATCCTCAGCTCATACAGGCAGACCTCCCTGAGACTCATGGCTATAGAGAAGATGGAGATGGGTGAAGTCGGGACATCTCTTATGTCCTCAGAGACTAAGCCTCCTCCAGCGAGACCTCCTAACAAATTTGAGAGGTTATTTCAGCCCTGCCTGGCCGAGTTGGTGGGAACTACTTTCTTTGTGTTCATCGGGTGTGTGTCGGTGATAGAGAATGTGGAGTCTGCAGGGAGGCTTCAGCCGGCTCTGGTGCACGGGCTGGCTGTAGCCGTCATGGTGGCCTGCATGGCTGAAATCAGGTGAGGGTCATCAGGTGTTTCAGATACATTACGCAAATGTATTGTGCATGAATAATGAATGTTTTCTTTAGATTGCATGGAATTAACTCCTGTATGTTGGATGAACAATGATGCATTACAAATATAACTACAGAAACAGGATTTTTCAACACTTCATCTGGTGGCTTTGAGTGCCAATTTAGTAAGTCTTTTTTATCCAGGTGACATTAGTCATTTGTGCTCTTGTAACTTCATATTTTTTTCACATGATTCTATTCATCACATTACAACAGTTTTATTAAAAGAGCAACGGTATTTGTATATAAAAGAATGAAACAAGCACAGGCTACAACAAGCAAGATTAATTGCATTTTTAAAATCACTTGTACCACTTTAAAAGCTTGAAGACACCATGACTAAACACAAGAAGTTTTCCTGCATTACTAGTGGATCCCATTTCAACCCACCATTCACCCTGGCCATTTATCTCTGTGGAGGGATGGAGTTGAACATGGTGGCTCCTTACCTTGTATCCCAGTTGGTTGGAGGTGTGCTTGGAGCTGCTATGGCAAAGGTGAACCTAATGTCATTTAAACGTCCATCTTTGACTGTTTGATATGTCCAAAATAAAGATCTTAATTGTGTTGAACTGATGCCAACAGGTGATGACCTCCAGGGAAAACTTTTCCAAAGCCAGCGGGGCTGCGTTTGCTCTGCTGCAGACGGACAGTGATATCGGAGCCGCTGTGTTTGGAGAGGTTGCTATGACCTGCCTCGTCACCATGGTGGTGCTGCTGGGGGCCGTCAACACCACCACCAGAAGCCCCATGGTGCCATTTATGGTGGGCTGCACTGTTATCATCAACATTCTGGCTGGGTGAGTAGTAGAAGAAGAAGAAGAATATATACTTTATTAATCCCTTACTGTAGTGTACAGGGACATTTCTTTCCCCACTCTGTTGTGTTTACACACATTACACACACAGGGGAGGATATACATGCACACACACAACCAGATAGGAGAGGTGGCAGAGCAGAGAGGCTGCCAGGTACCCAGCACCAGGGAGCAGTTTCGAGGTTAGGTGCCTTGCTCAAGGGCACCTCGTCAGTGGCCTTGGAGGTGAACTGGCACCTCTCCAGCTACCAGCTCACTCCATATTTTGTTTTGGTCCGATCGGGACATGAACCGGCAACCCTTCGGTTCCAAGACCAAGTCCCTATAGACTGAGCCACTGCCGCCTCGAAAGTATTACTTATTGAAGAGAATTGTGCTACATAAGAAGTTCCTTTCTACAATAAAATGGCAGAGCATGATATGTTGCAGTAAAATCCTTTAATTTATGACTTAAAGGTGGGGTAGGTAAGTTTGAGAAACCGGCTCGAGATACACTTTTTGTTATATTCCATGGAATGCTCTTAACATCCCGATAGCAATGAATATCTTAAGTGCTTTGACAAAAAATCCATAAAAAAATGTCATCTGCCGTAATACTGTAAAAAGTACGACCAATCATTTTAGCCGGCCTGGCTAAAATAACTGGATGGCCTACCTGCCTGTCAGCCTTCCATCGGGGCACAAACTTATCTCGTGCCCTCATTGGTCATGTGCGCGTTCGTGTGTGTTGGAGGAGGGGCTCTGTAAGGAAGTGGCAGATTTTCTCCGGTTGTGTATTTTCAAATTCTAGCGATCTCGAGCCGGTTTCTCAAACTTACCTACCCCACCTTTAATATCATGTAAAGATGCATTCATTATTTTCAACAGGTCTGCCAAAGTGAGACATTTAGAAATATCACATCTTATTTGCATTTTCATGTTTCATGTTTATGCTCCAGTAGTGATGCAAATGCAGCATAAACACTTTATTTTCATATTGGGGAACTTATTTGAAAAATCCAATACCTGTTTCTTTTCTCAGTGGAGATGTTTCTGGCACATGTCTGAACCCAGCCAGAGCCTTTGGTCCGGCCATCGTGCACAACTACTGGGTTTATCACTGGGTGTACTGGGTGGGTCCCATCACTGGAGGCCTGATTGCAGCAGTACTGGTTCGGTAGGTGCAACACAACATACACTTTATACTTTAAATGATCCCGGTTTTTGTATTTTGATTAAAGATTCAATACTGACTGAACAGATTACAAACTATGTATCCTGTTTTTTGCAGACTGCTACTTGGCGACAGGAAGATTCGACTCATTCTGAAATGAGACTTGTCGGTAAATCAATAGGTGGCTTTATCATCTAAAGTCACAAGATAACCCTTTTTTATGTGCCACTGATATGCTTGATATGCTTTGCTTTACAATAAAATTAGACTTTTTCATATAATTTAAGGTACTTCTTAAATGATCTATGAGTGCTGGAGTTTGTTTTTAAAAAGTGTGTACAGAATATAATATTATGCTTAGCTTAAAGGTCAATTTAATATCAAACCAAGTTGTAGATGATTAGTAAACTGAGTCTCTAGTTTAGAAAAACACATTCTGGTTTTGTTTTTGTAGTTCCTTGATTCTGTGTATTATTTAAGAACACAAGGACATTAGGAAAATTGAGTTTTCCAGCAGGTGCATGAGTCACAACAATATTATAGAGCTTTAGATAAACTCTCAAACTAATTAACTTTTGAATTGAGAAGCACATTTACAAAAAAAAGCCTTGAGCTAAAATTAAATTACTTCAAATTTCCAAACACAAATGGCGCCTACCGTCTAAAGGAGACCAAATGGCAACCTTTTGAAAGCCAGGAGACATCTCTGCTCAGCTTTGTGTCCTGCGGACCCTGTCCCTGTTCTCCACAGCCGGAGCCGTGAATGCCTGTTCGGCACTGGAGGGTATCATGCTGTTCCCATATTGTACCCCTGGGCCTCCCCACAGCAGTGGCCCACATGGGAAAGCAGGCCAGGCGGTGGGATAAACCAATTACCCCCCCGAGTCTGGATGGACTCCTGCCGGCGCTCCATGCAGCGGCTCCCGGCCCGGGCCCTCCTGGGCTCCTTCCCCATGAGAGCCAGCTGGAATTCCCAGAGATGAGAATTGTGCGGTCTCAAAAGCCTGCAGAGAGGCTATACTTTTGCTTGGAAATTTGACATGCTGGCCCCCTGGGTCAATAGTGAGGGAGGAGACTTCAAACTGAGCTTTTGCAGATTAAGAAAGGTTTAAGGAAAACTTGATTTTTGTCTGACACCTTTGAAAATAAGATTTTTTTGCAACCCTTGTCTTTTATGCTTAAAACTTCAGTGTACACTCTCATGTGTCCAATCTAAAACGTTTTGGTCCAGAAATAGCAGTGTCTAAATAATAATTTGTCCATAATAAAACTATTAAATGCCTAAAAACAGTCCCAAAAGTTTGTGTTCAATGGCTGAGATTCCTCAAATATATTTTATGGTTGTCTATAATCTGTTTTTTCCTAAAACTGAAAGACATAAAATGCATTAAAAGAGGAGCAATAGAGATAAATATAAAAGATAACATGGATATAAAGCAGTAATACACAGAGAAAATGTGGCCGGAGTGAGATAAAGAGCAATGATCACGCCTCCTCTGGCTTCTTGGATTCATGAGCCCTGATGGTTTCTAGATGACAGCAGCCGTGACAATGGTCATTATGTCTGTCGGAGGCCTTGTCACTGCAGAGCCATTGTCAGGGCCCCATTCACCACAGCGTCATTTACACTTTCATTGGCAGCTATTTAGTCCTCATAAAAAGTTCAACACACCAATTTGTGAGCCCTGCTCAGCCAGGGAGAAGTGTGGAATAGGCAAAGAAAACAGTTGCTTTAAAAGTCATTTAATTATTCCCCTTCTGGGAGGGGCTGAGTGGGAGGATCCCCAGGCTTTGGGGCCCCACATCTGGCCATCCGTCTTCTCGTGCTGTGATGAAGGGGCCGCACAATCAAAAGTATTGTCCAATTCAGTCAGCTCAGAGCTTTGCGCCATCTAAGGAGATTTGTATTCCATTTTATGGTAGGGCTATCCTATTATCATAAGAATCTGATTACAGGGGGAAAGATGGGATGCAGAAGGAAAAAGGCAAACTTAAACTTGTAGGATACTTCAGCTCTAAATCTCATTCTCCTAAATAAAACACAGATTATGCAGCATGTGATGGGCAATGGGGGTGTAAGCTCATTTAAGCTTTAACTCAGTCTCTTGAGGGACCAGTGTATTCTCGTGAACCGGAGGGCCTCATGAAATTTAGATTTGTATGCACTGTTCATGAGCTCTGTTCACTACAAAACACTTCATCAGGCACACAGCTAAAAGATCGGTTTAGATTATCTGTTCAAATATGTTAAGAAGAAATCCACCAATTACAAAGATTTGTAGACAAGATTTGTATCTGACTAAGATATCCACAAATTAAACGTTCATTTTTTAATAGTTAAAACAGTTTCGGTAAATCAGAATTGGGAAATGTTTGATTTGGTGTTACTGCAAATGCAAAAAATTAAATATTATTAGTAAAAATATTAAGATATAGTCTTAATGAAAGAGAAAACAGAGACTTAAAGACATTTCTGATTTATAACAGCACAAAACATATAAATAGACAAAAGAAAAAACATTTGAAACTTAAGCACATATTAATCCGAGTAAAAACAACTAACACATAATATGTACAAGCATATTGAACAAACTGGTGATTAGGAAAAAACAGTCCTTCAGTCTTCCCTCCCACTTTAGTTCATGGGGCAATTGTCACACAGAGCCAGCAAAGTGAACAACGGATGATGTTGGGAGACGCACAAAGAGGGAGCAGCAACCCAACCCCTTCTCAGCCTCCCAGGACTGAGGGCAGTGATGGGGGGGGGGGACAAAGGCCGGCCCTCTGAGTCTCAGTGCAGGCGGCCCTGCTGTTTGCCCCTGCCCTGCTCCTCAAAATGTGCTTTTAAAAAAAAAAAAAAACACAATTGAATTACTTGGTCCCTGCTGGTGATGCTGGATGCCACCTTGCTGGCACATGAAAACATAACAGGGATCCCACAGTGCCAGTACTGGCGTGAGGATGCCTGTGGATAAAACAACACTAACTCAGTCCAAAGGGAAGTCGCAGGAATTCCGCCGCGCTGCCCAGGCAGTCTTGTAGACAGACAGGAAGTCTTTGTAACGCGGGGCACACCCTAGCCAAGCTTCCCCAAAGTGTTCTGACCCTGTGAAGAGAAACTCTCCGTCCCCAGGCTTCACGTGGCACTGCAGGAGTGTGTGGATGTGCCCGGAGCGGGGGGACCCAGGGGCCGCCGCTTGGTGCTCAAACACTCCACTGCGCTGCCAGTACACCCTCACTGCTGAAACCTCCAACAAGGAAGTCTGATGCTCAGAGTCGTGGGAGACATTTTTGATGTGCCCTCGGACCACTGGAAGAAAGAGCAGAGCCAGTGTGCCATGTTATTTTATTTTCTCTCCTTCCTGTCTTTCTCCATTAACACCTTTACTATGCATTATCTTTAAATGGACATGGCAGGAGTGTGAAATTGAGGCACAGAAATTAGGACCTATTACTTCTGCTCTAATGAACTGCTTTCACCCATTCTGCAACTCCCCCCGACATCTGTTTGACCTCTGCTGCTGCGGTCAGGGCATACAGCGGACCAGCTTCAGACTTTTATATTGGTTACATTTACCAGGGGTGGAGGAGGTATTTAGATCCCAAATTCAAAATCTTTCAATCTTTAAAGTACAACAATAATATAATCAAACAAATTAAGGACTTAATATTCATATATTATAGGATGTATTTTAGTGATGCAACATGTAAGCAACATTTAATGAGGTAAGAGGCTATTGTATCAAGTTGATATTGAATTGCTGGCTAGAATGTATTACTCTGAATCATATTTTATAAAGTGATCTACAGTTTTGTATGCAGGCTAAAATCAGGAACTAGTAAGTGTGGCTGTGTAAAGTAAAGACTTCAACATTTGTCACAAGTAAACTTAGACGAGCAGAAAAAGAGCTATACATTGCATGAAATATAACACTTTAGTAAAATAGATGCATGCTTACATCATTTACATTACCCAAAGGAATCTATACAGGTTGGGTATCTCTCAATGGTTGCCCAGACGAAAATCTAATTCATATTATTAGGTTTTTTTTCACACTTTGACTGTATTCCCTATAATTGACATGACTTGTTAGAACTTTATATCTTAGTGGCAATGTAATGGAGTTTTTTCAGTTTGTATATGCAGTACAGTAAGTAGATGTGCGGTTTGTAGAGTAAGATTTGTATACGCACCAAAGTCACTGTTGCAGATGGCCATGAGGAGTTCCGTATCATTGCAGGGTCGACATGAAGCTGTAGGGTGAGAAAAGAACAGAAAACTACATTAAGCTTGATGAATACCTGCATCAAATCTGGCATTCCTATCTCTGTTCCAAACCATACAAGACTCAAAACTCTTTGACTGATAATGATTGATAGATTGGGGTCTTGTCCTCCCTCCCACTCCATGGACTTTAAATCTGACACACATACCAACTGTATTCATCTCCCTGCTCACATGAAAGAGTAAAGAAACCCGGGTTAGATGAAGGAATGCTTCTCCTAAGTGTTCTGCCCACCACACTGCCTCCATATAAAAAACTCTTGACCCCATGTTTGACTCTATTGTCTCCACCTAATTGAATGACCCTGTGCCAATGCAGGAGACTGCAGGAGTCAAACACTTCTGCCGGACTGGCAATGCAGAAAAGATAGACCAGCAGCTGTCTATTATGGACATAGAATGACATCATCACATTGGAAAAGGCCCGCACACATGGATAAATGCTACTAAACAGAGATGCACAATGAAAAGGCATTTGTGGAATTTGCAGACTATTTGTGGTCTCAATTCATGCCCTTTGGCCCGGTGCCCTTCAGCCGCCCTGTGGTCCGCTCTGTCCTCACTGCTTTGTCCCCCCCGATGGAAACCAGACAGCCAGACAAAACACACAACTGACCAGCAGATGCATGCTCCAGCCAGCATGATTTGGGTCTGTAATTAAATGATCACTATTTCTCCCAGGAATTAAGACCGGTCCATCCCTTAATGTAATATATGCTTTAAAATGTGATTCGGATTGTTGGTGTCATGTTCTACAATGCACTCTTCATAAAGGGTTTCTGAGTTGTAAATTATGTAATAATTGCATGCACTAAGCAGTTGCACGCTTTATAAGTAGGCTATTTTATGGGTTGCCAGGTTGTGAAAAATCCCCACAAATGTGCCCTTTATTTAAGGCAGTTGGTAATCCATAAGTAAATGATCTGCAGCGTTTCTCATAACGAAATGTTTTATTTAACACCCTTAATAAACGCTGTAAATGCATGTTGTTCCACTCACTCTGCAGCCCGCGGTGGCCCACGTTGGGTGCAGCACTCCTGTTGCCCAGCAGCTCATATCTGAAGCCCATGGTGCGTCTGCTCCAGGCTCCGTCACTCTGCGGGCCGGACTGGAGGTAGATGGCGGGTCTGTGTGGACCATCAGCCCGAAAACAGTACACCTGATGCCGGGGCCGCCTGCCCTCGGTCACCAGCAGCTCCAGCTCCCCGGCCCGCTCGATGAACACGCTGGCTCCGCGGAGAGAGGGGGACGGCTTGATGCAGACGATGGTACGCCGGGCTGAGGACAGGTTGGGCTCCAGGACCACCCGGAGAGCCTGGCCCGGGTAAACCCACCTCACCGAGCCTTCTGTACAGCGCAGCCGCACCTGGAGAACAATCCTCGAGTCCAAACCAGCTGCAAACCCGCTGGATCAGAGGGAACCCGAGGAATGGATTATCAATATGAAAAAGGTTTCATTCAAATGACTGCCATGCCTTGACTACATTGTTTTTGGCATCATTAATGGTTACTAAATAATTGCTATTGCTTTAAAGATAATTTACAAAACACTAATAAGAACACTTGGTTGCAGATTGTAGAGCATGCCATGCTGGTGTTTAGTCGTCCTTGTTGATACAATTGCAGTTGTAAATGTTACAATTCAATTATAAATAATCCCATGTTACTTGCTACGAATTACATTTGCAGTTATCAAAATTAGGTCATTAATGACATTTGTTAAACTTTTTCACAACATCTACGCAAAATGTGTTTTTATGAATGCATTGTAATGGTTTAACAAAGCCTGTGTAGGCCTAAATAATTCCTCAAGATTGGTTAAACCATGCACCACATTTAAATGCCCCAGCTGTTTTCCCGCTTTAAAAGGCAATAGACTCGCAGAAAACGAGAGAAAGTTCCTTACCTTCCAGTCCAGTTACACAGATCAGCCGAACAGTGCCGTAGCTGAAGTCCCAGCATACACATCAGAATAATCACATTTGGCAACATCTCAT